AGTACACTAGATATAGGAGAGCTGGTTTAGTGCACTCGATATAGGAGAGCTGGGTTAGTACACTAGATATAGGAGAGCTGGTTTAGTGCACTAAATATAGGAGAGTTGGCTTAGTACACTAAATAAAGGAGAGCTGGCTTAGTACACTAGATATAAGAGAGCTGGCTTAGTACACTAAATATGCGAGATTAGAGATACTTCCCTTGTTCATTTCCTGGGTTTGGAAGTGAGCAGCATAGGAAAGCTTTTTTTTTATTCCTAAAATTCTATTTGCTATTTTGAATAAAATGTTTGTACTTTTCTAAATTTTTTGTAATATAAAAATATTAATTTTTTAATTTTTAATATTATGAAAAAAACGGTCCTACTTACGGTTTTCAAATAGAAAATTCAAATAGAAAAGATCATTATGAATAAGTCTTTTTCATTCTTACTTTTCAAGAACGTCATGTTTAATCTGCTTCTCTTTGATTCCAAACTCTTCAAACTTGACCAGGTTAAATCTCATGCTTGAAGACATAAACTGACTTATCCTGAAGTAAACAGAAATTAAAACTTCATAAGGTTGCATTATAGCGAATATGATCTAGCAATATTATGTGTTATATGTCATATTAGAAGAGAAGAAAGGAAAAAGTAGAAAAGAAGAGAAAGGAAGGAAAATAAGGTGAAGATGAGCGGAAGAAGGAGGAGAGGAAGAAGAGAAAGGAAGGAAAATAAGGGGAAGATGAGGGGAAGAAGGAGGAGAGGAAGAAAAGAAAGAAAGGAAAATAAGGTGAAGATGAGGGGAAGAAGGAGGAGAGGAAGAAGAGAAAGCAAGGAAAATAAGGGGAAGGTGAGGGGAAGAAGGAGGAGAGGAAGAAGAGAAAGCAAGGTAAATAAGGTGAAGATGAGGGGAAGAAGGAGGAGAGGAAGAAGAGAAAGCAAGGAATATAAGATGAAGATGAGGGGAAGAAGGAGGAGAGAACAATCAGAATAATTTTAATACAGGGCTGTCTATGCAGGATTAAAATTCTACAAATTTGTTTCTCTTAGTACAACAATTTGGATACATAAGCTTCATCTAAATTGTCAGGCATATTCTCTTTTGAACTTTGAAACGCGTCTGGTACGAGCGCGGACGAGTATGCGCGCGGCACTGAAAAAATCACAGAAGAACTCAGAAGAGCTCACTGCCACTTAGATGACCAACTGGTGAAGACCTAATCTGTCGTGCCTGCTGAATTCTTTTATCTTTGCTATTCAATATTATTTCATTTCAGAGTAAATCAAAAAGAGGGTTCATCGAGTCTTGAGCACTTCATCAATTCAGAGCTGTCGACAAAATTTCCAATCGCCTTTTATTTAAAGCCCGTTATTGACGGATTTACAATTTTGAAAATCTAGTTTTCTAATTTCTTTCCTTATCTCTGCACAATAATTCCAGAAATCAGTTGAAATTTTGTCCACAGTCCCTTTAAACAAATAATTTTCGAAATATTCCTACCTCATGATAAGATTAATCGCAGTCACAGTTGCCAGGAAAACATACCAAAACCATAAGAAGACAAAAATCTAAATGGAAAACAGTTTAGAAAACGAATTAAGTCCCAGATGTTTAATGGAAAAAAATAGAAATAAACTAAAGTAAACTTTAGTTTAATGTGGAAAGGGTTCTTCAGTCTACACTGCAACTTTTTACCAAAACTTTAAAGTATAATTATTTTTTTTTAAATCTCCAAAGGTATACTAAAGTTCAATCTATTTAAAACTTGTCATATTAATGATAATGGGTTATACAAAAATAGTCAAAAATCATTTCATTTTCATATCTTTCATTAAAAGTTTGCTCTTTAGAAAGAAAACTGGAAAAATCTTTGAATTTTGCAAATTAAAACCAACCTTTTCATTAATAATGTTCATTCCAAGAACGCAGAGAGCATCAAACTTCTGGAGAGTTCCAGAGCCTCCATATTTGTGGAACATACATTTTGTCATCCTGTAATCAATCAATGAATCAAGAACACTTTTGGAAAGTGTGACAAACAGACGTTGCAATAATAATATGAAAATATGAAAAAAAGCTGATTCTACCTTGGAAATACTTTGTACATAGGATCTACTCTATCCTCCTCTTCTATATCTGACCAGCTGGCCGCTTCAATACCATAATTGTAGAAGGAACCACCAAGAAACCTGTCTGTTATCACAATCTAAATATTTAATTTAGGGTTTCCGGTTTTCCATTTTTTTCCGGATCAATTTGGTTTTGTAACTGCCGTCTCCCCTGAAGCTCTAAAAAACTTTTGGAAATGATGGGCAGAACCTTTCTTAATCGAATTTGAAATAGATCTACACAGTGGTAGGCGATGACATCAAAACAGTCAGAGAACTATAAATAAAATGTTGATTTATATCAAACTGGTAATAACAATATGAATACAAGAGAATCGAAGGTGTTAATTAAAAAATTGGTGCCCCTATTTTACATATCATTCTAACCCTGAACACTTAACTAGATGCAAATTTGTTAGAAGTAAAAGACGAAATAAAATGAGGTTCTTCACTGTATTGATATGTGTGCCTAAAGCAGTGACTATAAACATAAATTATAAACCTGTACAACTGCAGTCATTGTCGTATTTACCAATACAATCAAGACGACTTTTGATTTTAATGGTTGCTTTCAAACAGCATGGATACACATAAGCATTGAAGCTAAGAGAAGCTGTCTATGCAGTTTCTTTTTGAATACTTTTAAACTTGTAATTTGAAAAAAAGGTTAAGAAATCAAAAGTGAATGGAAAAGTCGTCTTAATTGTATTGATATTAAGACTCATCACCTGTACATTACTGCACATATAAACTACGAACCTATGTTACTTACTTACTGTGCATGAAAACTAAACAATCTGTACAACAATATTCTGTACATATAAACTAAAAACCTGTACAACAATATAGCTTTACATAAAATTTATGCACACCTGTACAACACTAACATTGTACATATAAACTATACAAACTGTACAACAACATTACTTTGCATAAAAACTATAAACCCGTACAATAACATTACTGTACATATAAAATATACAAACCTGTACAACAACATTGATAAAATTGAGAACTTCACAAAGATAAAACTTGATTGCCCAGCTTATATGCTCTCCTTTATTTCCATGACTAAAAAAGATTTCTTGTACTCCTCTGTATCCTGTTTTCGTCATTTGCAATCCCTATTAGTCATCCGTAATTCTCTTTGGTCATTTGTATTCATCTTTCGTCATCTGTATTCATCTTTGACAATCTATTATATTCATCTTTAGTCATCTGTTATATTCATCTTTGGTCATCTGTTATATTCATATTTGGTAATCTGTTATATTCATATTTAGTCATCTGTCATATTAATCTTTGGTCTCTGTTATATTCATCTTTAGTCATCTGTTATATTCATCTTTGGTCATCTGTTATATTCATCTTTGGTAATCTGTTATATTCATATTTAGTCATCTGTCATATTAATCTTTGGTCCATCTGTTATATTCATCTTTGGTCATCTGTTATATTCATCTTTGGTCATCTGTATTAAAGGAACAACAAGCTTTTTAAAAAGCGCACTTTTTACAAAACCATCGTTTCGTTTTCCGTTTTTTTCGTTGTCGTTTTCATTTAGCAAGATTATTTAAATCAATCTCCTGATTTGAATACTCCATGTTATCTTATACAGTACCTCACTCTTGTGTTCATGTAAGTAGCAAGATTATTTAAATCAATCTCCTGATCTGAATACTCCATGTTATCTTATACAGTACCTCACCCTAGTGTTCATGTAAGTAGCAAGATTATTTAAATCAATCTCCTGATCTGAATACTCCATGTTATCTTATACAGTACCTCACTCTTGTGTTCATGTGAGTAGTAAGATTATTTAAATCAATCTCCTGATCTGAATACTCCATGTTGTTTCGCTACTTAGCGATTTCCCTAAAGACCTAATATATGTACCGTGTAGTATTTCTCAGGACCGGATCGTAAGACTCCCTTCTCTCAACGCTCTTCATAACAAAAGGATGATAATAAGGTTCCGAACGTTTATTTCTCTGAGTCTTCAATCTAAATAAGTTTAATAAACCCACAGAAAAAGCTTTGAGTGATAAATCATACGAATACAACAAATAATTCACTCAGGCATTAAAAAACTGTGGCGAGGAACCCAAACACATATACAAATATCAATCATACTATAATCAAACGATAAGCATAAGTATATATAAGAATAATTACCACAGTGATCCCAGAATTTTGGACACGGTTAAAACTTGCAAGACAAATAAACATATACTGATATAAACTATTCACTACTCTGCGAGAAATCTTGCGCCTGCGTAGTCGGTCTGTAAACAGTTCCTAAACTAGTTCTTTCACAATACATTCCGTACAGATCTTCAGGGAGAACTCAGAAATACACAGGGGTGACAAGCAGACTTTATACACGCAGCATGGCTCACGTAACACATGTTATCTTATACAGTACCTCACTCTTGTGTTCATGTGAGTAGTAAGATTATTTAAATCAATCTCCTGATCTGAATACTCCATGTTATCTTATACAGTACCTGACCCTAGTGTTCATGTAAGTAGCAAGATTATTCAAATCAATCTCCTGATTTGAATACTCCATGTTATCTTATACAGTACCTGACCCTGGTGTTCATGTAAGTAGCAAGATTAAGTTCAACCCAGCAACAATTCTACGAAACCTAAACATAAAGTCAACTTAAAGGGAGTGATGTTGTATGTATACGTATCCCGCAATATTTGAAGAGAAGCATGCCTGATTCAAAAGGATACTTCCTAGCTTTAGAAGTGTTTAATTTTGTTAGTTTCTCTATTGTTTCTGAAGCAAGAAATGCGACAGTCGTGAAAAACATAAAGAAAAACCATTAGTTTAAAATAGAAACATGGATATAATCTACATATAATTGATCAATAAAAGCTTTTAAGGGTACAGTTGTGAATCAGACGTGTCACTCTATAAAATGGAAATTTTTTCTGTAAAGGAAAAGTTATCAAAAGGAATTTTTTTAAAATTTTATGCATAGGGTGTACGCAGGTTAGTAAAATGTAATGCATAGTGTGTACAGGACGCAGGTTAGTAAAATGTAATGTATAGAGTGTACAGGACACAGGATATTAAAATGTAATGCATAGAGTGTACAGGACACAGGTTATTAAAATGTAATGCATAGTGTGTACAGGACACAGGATAGTAAAATGTAATGCATAGTGTGTACAGGAAGCAGGTTAGTAAAATGTAATGCATAGTGTGTACAGGACACAGGATAGTAAAATGTAATGCATAGGGTGTACAGGACACAGGATAGTAAAATGTAATGCATAGTGTGTACAGGATACAGGTTAGTAAAATGTAATGCATAGAGTGTACAGGACGCAGGTTAGTAAAATGTAATGCATAGAGTGTACAGGACACAGGTTATTAAAATGTAATGCATAGGGTGTACAGGACACAAGTTAGTAAAATGTGATGCATAGTGAGTACAGGACACAGGTTAGTAAAATGTAAGGCATAGTGTGTACAGGACACAGGTTAGTAAAATGTAATGCATAGGGTGTACAGGACACAGGTTAGTAAAATGTAATGCATAGTGTGTACAGGACACAGGTTAGTAAAATGATTGGACAGTGTTTAAAATATCTAAAATATCACTTTTTTGTTAATTAAGCAATAGATCTACAGTGATAACCAGAAAACTCTGGAATAGGAAATCGACTTTGAGACTCAAGATATGACTTTAAATAGTTAATTGAACATGGGATGATGGGACACAGCAATTGTTAAGAGTAAATAGACCCATTTCAGTTAATATGTTATCTAATCACTTACTAATATAGATATTGCTTTGTAACAACATCAAATGCACTTGAGTATTGCATTAATGTCGTCTTCCTATTCTACAGTTTTATGCTTATCAATAAACATTTTTGAATATACCTTGAAAATGTAAAAAACTGCGAACGTCTTAGTTTTTGTCAAAAACGAAAACTTAAATATTTTGTTTTTTAATTTTCAAAATTTTTTCTGACATATGTTACAAGAAAAATGACCTTTCATTCCAACCAGAAAAACTGAACTCCAAAGCTTTTTTTCTCTGGGGGGGGGGCTATGCATATAAAAAGACTCCCACCGTTATAGGATTAATAAGCTGAATTTATTACTAACCTTCCACCCTCAATAACCTTCCAAATATAATGAGGAAGATAGAACATGACAGCCTGAACAAATACTAAATTATTTAACCAGTAAAATAGTTTTCAAAATTTTTTGTTAGAAATTTTAATAAAATCAATCTTTTGAAATAAAACTTAAAATGCATTTAACGTATACAAGTTTTAAGAACCTTCAGCGGAATAGCCAACAATTAACTGAAGATTAGAACATTGTATTTGACATTTGAAAATTTCCAATTCAAAGCAAATACATTTATCTCCAGTAATTTTGAGAAGGCAAAAAAGGCAGACCACATTTTGGAAATGTCAGAACAAGATCAATTATGACATTTTATTTTTCATAACATTTTCTTTTTCTATATATGTAAAATGAACGTCTCAACAACTTGACAAAGTCTTCAATGAATTGAAATTCTATTTTACTTTAGGGTTGAAAACCCGAGCTGGGCTAATGCCGCAAACTGTTAGAACGATTTTACTCGTGTCTAATAATGTTTGTCGTCTTCATTTATTTAACCATGGTGAGAATTCGATTCAACCATGGTCAACATGTCTAAAGTTCTAGTCCTTTTACAAGATGATGGCATCCATTTTGTTTGTTCTTTTTGAGGATTGTATCCATTTTGTTTGTTCTTTTTACAAGATGATTGCATCCATTTTGTTTGTTCTTTTTATAAGAGAATTGCATTCATTTTGTTCTTTTGGTTAACTTTTATATATTTATTCTGATATTACCTGGAAAGACAGGAAGAGAGGAACCCATTGGTAATAGGCATGATACACCTATAAATAACAAAGGATTGACTAAAGACGACATTGGCCACACATTTCTAATTTTATGTCAGATTGAATATAAAATAAGAATTGACTGGTAAAAATGCAAAAAAAAGAATCAACCAAAAAAATTGTAACATTAATTATTTACCTCTTCGTCATCCTCGCCCTGTGGTCCAACCTAATCAAATAAAAATAAGTTAGAAGACGACTTTTATTTTTAATTCTTCTTAAAGTAATTTTTAAAATTCCGTTTGAAGACGACTTTTCGTTTTTTCCACCTGATAGAAAGACCCCGACTTAATTTATGATTAATCAGACGACTTTACAATAGAAATTTACAAATATGAAATTGATTAAACGATATTATCTAAATAGCCTTAGTCCTGCCAATTCCAAACTGTGGTCTGCCTTTATGATACTTTTAAAATTACCAGAAATATATGTGTAAAGTTAATTGTCTGATTAACTGTGAATTAATTCCGTGTCTTTCTGGTTATGACTGTATGCTTTTTTAAATAGTGTTTAAGCACTTTGTAATTTTCAAAGGTTTAACTTTGTACTGTCTGTGTACTTTCAAGTGATCCTCTATTTTGAGGAGAACATGTCCGATTTACAAAGTTATCCTTTAACCATAACACAGTGGTCTAGAGTCCGAATTTAATTAATTTAAGCGGCGTCTCAAAACCACAAAAACCGGTTATAATTGAACGCCGGCATAAATCTTGAAACATTGAATACAATTTTAAGTTGAACCAACCATATTTAAACAGCGTATCAAATATAAGCCGCGGCTCAAATTCTTTAAATTCGGCCTCTGAAGTTGCAAGCTCTCCCATAAAAATCAATGAGAATTTTGTTCCTAACTTCGTAAACGACTATAGATAAAAAATAAGTGCTTTAGAATTATAAAATGTACATGTCTAAGGCTACACAAAAGTAAAACTGAGTTGTAACGTAACATCAATTGAGTTTTTTTGTAGACTGTAAAGTGTTTAATTTTAACAATTTTCCGTTGCTTCTTAAGCAAAAAGCGCATGCTACTTTCGGATAGAAACCACTATTAAAAATAATTAGTTTTGAAAGAGAAAAATATGGATTTATAATGCATATTTAAATGATCAGATATAAATGTTAAAGGTACCGCTCTGAATCAGACAAAAATATTAAACAATTACCCCGTGATGTATGAAATCTGTTCCTTGGTCTCCATTGTAATATTTGGGAAGAGAATAGGTCGACATTATCCAACAGAAACTAAAATAAGAGAATAGGTCGACATTATCCAACAGAAAATAAAATAAGAGAATAGGTCGACATTATCCAACAGAAACTAAAATAAGAGAATAGGTCGACATTATCCAACAGAAACTAAAATAAGAGAATAGGTCGTCATTATCCAACAGAAAATAAAATAAGAGAATAGGTCGACATTATCCAACAGAAACTAAAATAAGAGAATAGGTCGTCATTATCCAACAGAAAATAAAATAAGAGAATAGGTCGTCATTATCCAACATAAACCAAATTAAGAGAATAGGTCGACATTATCCAACAGAAACTAAAATAAGAGAATAGGTCGACATTATCCAACAGAATCTAAAATAAGAGAATAGGTCGACATTATCCAACAGAAACTAAAATAAGAGAATAGGTCGACATTATCAACAGAAACTAAAATTAGAGAATAGGTCGACATTATCCAACAGAAACTAAAAATAGAGAATAGGTCGACATTATTCAACAGAAACTAAAATATTTGTATTTTTTATTATAATGATCCAATTTTATCTATTTGATATCTAAATTATAATAAAGTATACATCATTTTCTTTGTGTGGGGGGGGGATAGGCAGACATCCTCTTGAAAATTAAGAGTATATGTATTTTTTTCCTGGGGGTGGGGGGTCTGCACCCGTTTGGCTCTGACAGATAGATAGATAGATAGATAGGAAGGAAAATAGTTAAACAGATAGAAGATAGGTATGGAAAGAACTAGATAGATAGATAGATAGCCAGGTATGGAAATAGATAGAAGGATAGATAGATAGATAGATAGATAGGTAGAAAGTTACAAAAGGTAGTTTCAGAATTGCTTTCTCTTACTAAACATACCATAGTGTTAAACTTTCTAGTTTAACTTAACCATTAATTTAACTTTCTTTCTTTCTTTCTTTCTTTCTTTCTTTTTTAATTATTCGTAAATGTAATAGGTTAATTTGCTTTTTGTTATGATCAAGTTATTAGATATAGTTTGGCAGTTTTGAACTAAATAACAAACATATATTATTGTTTTCTTATAGTTATTGACCTTTAGATAGATAATTTATAAAAACCTAGTGATCATTACAAATATTTATTTTTGAATTTTAGAGTTATGATTTAGAAAAAGGCTTTCCGTTTTTCTACTTTATTATTACTTATTTATTACTTTTTCTTCTTTGTTAAATACTTTGATTTTTATTATTTTTTTTTTCAGATGATTTGTTTGTAGAATTGTACTGCAGTTCATTAACTATACTTTAGTATACGATTTGCTGTACAGTGTACAGCAACCAAGTTGTTTACAGTGTACAGATACAGTCAAGGTTTAGTGTACACAAGATGGAGTTAGAGCTAACTAGAGTAGAGTATATGCAGGTAATTATTCAGGGTGATTGGTGCCACGTTTTTAATTTCTAACGGAGAAAAAATCTCAATTTGTTTCGTTTAAGCCTATCATCATATTAGTATACAGAAATAAATTTTATATGAAAACTACAGATATTTCCGCCATTTAATATCAGTAAAAGTGAACTCTGATTTGATTAGATGCTACCGGAGAGAGTTGAAACAAGGGTGAGGGGGGGNCCACTAATCTAGGCTGGGATTACAATTGTATGTTCCATTAATCTAGGCTGGGATTACAATTGTATGTTACATTAATCTAGGCTGGGATTACAATTGTATGTTCCATTAATCTAGGCTGGGATTACAATCGTATGTTCCATTAATCTAGGCTGGGATTACAATTGTATGTTCCACTAATCTAGGCTGGGATTACAATTGTATGTTCCATTAATCTAGGCTGGGATTACAATTGTATTTTTCATTAATCTAGGCTGGGATTACAATTGTATGTTCCACTAATCTAGGCTGGGATTACAATTGTATTTTCCACTCATATAGGCTGGGATTACAATTGTATTTTCCACTAATCTAGGCTGGGATTACAATTGTATTTTCCATTAATCTAGGCTGGGATTACAATTGTATTTTTCATTAATCTAGGCTGGGATTAAAATTGTATTTTCCACTATTCTAGGCTGGGATTGATTATATTTTCCACTAATCTAGGCTGGGATTAAAATTGTATGTTCCATTAATCTAGGCTGGGATTACAATTGTATGTTCCATTAATCTAGGCTGGAATTACAATTGAATTTTCCACTAATATAGACTGGGATTACAATTGTATCTTCCACTAATCTAGGCTGGGATTACAATTGTATTCTCCACTAATCTAGGCTGGGATTACAATTGTATTCTCCACTAATATAGGCTGGAATTACGAGTGGAAGAACGTTGCGTATTCTGCCAGGACCAGGAGATAAATCCCAACAGAAGATAGTTCTGGGAGATGATGATGGAGTGGTTCAGGTAATAAATATAGTTTCCTGTTAATCAAATATAAATTCCTGTTAATTAAATATAGTTTCCTGTTAATTAAATATAGTTTCCTGTTAATTAAATATAGTTTCCTGTTAATTAAATATAGTTTCCTGTAAATTAAATATAGTTTCCTGTTAATTAAATGTAGTTTCCTGCTAATTAAAAAAAATCGAATTTTACGGAAATTTTTCCGATGGACTAATGTAATTTGTTTTCAGGTGTTTAATATAAAGAGTGGAGTCCCAAATATAGTTGTTAGGTGTTTAATATAAAGAGTGGAGTCCCCAATAATATAGCTTTCAGGTGTTAAATATAAAGAGTGGAGTCTCTAATATAGTTTTCAGGCATTTATTATAAAGAGTGGAGTCCCTAGTATTGTTTTCAGGTGATTAATATAAAGAGTGGAGTCCCAAGTATAGTTTTCAGGTGTTTAATATAAAGAGTGGAGTCTCTAATAAAGTTTTCAGGTGTTTAATATAAAGAGTGGAGTCCAAAATATAATTTTCAGGTGTTTAATATAAAGAGTGGAGTCCCAAATATAGTTTTCAGGTGTTTAATATAAAGAGTGGAGTCCCTAGTATTGTTTTCAGGTGTTTAATATAAAGAGTGGAGTCCCAAATGTAGTTTTCAGGCGTTTAATATAAATAGTGAAGTTCAAAATATAATTTTCAGGTTTTTAATATAAAGAGTGGAGTCCCAAATATAGTTTTCAGGTGTTTAATATAAAGAGTGGAGTCCCAAATGTAGTTTTCAGGTGTTTAATATAAAGAGTGGAGTCCCAAATATAATTTTCAGGTTTTTAATATAAAGAGTGGAGTCCCAAATATAGTTTTCAGGTGTTTAATATAAAGAGTGGATAGTTTTCAGGTGTTTAATATAAAGAGTGGAGTCCCAAATGTAGTTTTCAGGTATATAATATAAAGAGTGGAGTCCCAAATATAGTTTTCAGGTATATAATATAATGAGTGGAATCCCTAATATAGTTTTCAGGTATATAATATAAAGAGTGGAGTCCCTAATATAGTTTTCAGGTGTTTGATACAAAGAGTGGAGTCCCTAACATAGTTTTCAGGTGTTTGATACAAAGAGTGGAGTCCCAAATATAGTTTTCAGGTGTTTAATATAAAGAGTGGAGTCCCAAATATAGTTTTCAAAACACTCCCTGGACCTAAAATAAATCGTGTTGAGCTTGGCGGGGCACTAGGAACTGTCAGGTTAGATTTTTAAAAAATAGCAGAAATTTATTTTACATATTTGAAAAAAGATGGAAAGATGTATATGTTATGGAATCATGTTTAAAATAGTTTTTTCGAACTTTCCCAATATCTTAACTATTTTGGAGTAAAATCAGGTCTTGAATTAGCGACGTTAGACTTCTCTAACACGTAAAACATCCCCCCCCCTCCCCCTATTTTAGTAAAAATAAATCGGATAGGGTGAAATCAAAAAAATACTTTTCAGGGACAAAGTTTTTGTAGCGTCTGGGAGTGAGACTCGAGGGTTTACTAAGAAAGGAAAAATGTTTCTACAGTTTGAAACAAATCTTTCCGAACCAATTCAGGAAATGGAAAAATTAGATTTTAAAATTATTAATAAAAAGTTATTAATAAGTTGTGGACAATTACTTAAAATTTAAAATTTAAGTTTGAGTTCTGGAGTTGAAGTCAGAATACCAAAACGAAATATGAAATAATTTAAGAAAAATAAACTAATTTTAATGCAAAAAAATTGCTATATATATATCTGGGGCTAAGAAATGTTTTAAATATGGAATGTGCCTAGCCACACAACTAAATATCTATTTATGTTATTGAACTAGGTATTATTAAGTGCAAAAATGTTTTTGTCTAGATTTTATTTGTTTCCAGATTGCTTGAGGTATATCAAAAAGAAAGTATTTTTACATCAAATGTTATCAAATTATTTAATAGCAGGCTGAAACATTACTTGACCTCTGCATTCTAATTTTTTTTACCATGAAATGGTTTAAACTGAGAAGAAAATGATGAATTTTATTTGAATATTTGGAAAGTAAAATGATTAAATATTTCCATAATGTCTAGAGTATGTACATATCCGGAAGCGATTTGTTAGTTTGTGGCAACTATATATACAACCAGTATCATGATTGCAAGTAAGTTGGTTTTATTATAACAGATTGCAGGGTGACCCACTAACCATGTTTGCAAGTAAGTTGGTTTTATTATAGCAGATTGCAGGCTGACCCACTAACCATGATTGCAAGTAAGTTGGGGTTTACAAACAAAGATAATTAATAATGTACAATGTACTGCAAGTTTACATAAATATCATGTGACCCGATATTTATTACAATTATGCGGGGTGACCCACCGTTATTATTAATTAATGTTATAACTTATTAGAGTTTCTAATTATCTGTTAGCTGAGCATAATTAATGCCTAACTGTTTAGATATTCTAACTATCTGTTAGCTGGGGATAATTAATGTTTAACTGTTTAGATATTCTAACTATCTGTTATTTGGGGATAATTAATGTTTAACTGTTTAGATATTCTAACTATCTGTTAGCTGGGGATAATTAATGTTTAACTGTTTAGGGATTCTAACTATCTGTTAGGTGGGGATAATTAATGTTTAACTGTTTAGATATTCTAACTATCTGTTAGCTGGGGATAATTAATGCCTAACTGTTTAGATATTCTAACTATCTGTTAGCTGGGGATAATTAATGTTTAACTGTTTAGAGATTCTAACTATTTGTTAGCTGGGGATAATTAATTTCATAACTGTTTAGATATTCTAACTATCTGTTAGCTGGGGATAATTAATGTTATAACTGTTTAGAGATTCTAACTATTTGTTAGCTGGGGATAAAATCAATGACGTTATTGCACTTCCGGCAGAAAAGGTAAAACTGTTTTTATCTAAGGGAGTGTTCGCTAAAATGAAAACAAGGAGAACATAATCAAATTATTGATTAAATAAAAGAATAGCGCTAATTTTATTGTCAATAGAATTGTGAAAATACGGATCTGTGTACACTGCACAATTGCTGTGTTTTTATGTTTATTCGACTTTTTAAAATTATTATTTGTGTCTAATATAACTGTTCTATTCCACAGTGCAGTTTATCCTTTTAAAGGTTAAGCAGACTTTATTTTAAAAACATAAGAAATTTTGAAAACTATTTTTTTTCATTGTCAAAATTGAAAACATACATTTGCGATAAAGCTACAGGCTACACAATATACATGTCAACCTTATCTTTTATTCTGATTGAAATAGGGTTAAAGTTCGCACACAAATAAATTAGTCAATTAAAATAGTTTGAAAATTCTTCTGAAATTAATCATATTGCGCATTTCTTGCGAATAATTTTCACAAAAAAAATGCGATTCGTGATATTTGTATTAAAAATTTTGTATTTATTCATTCTCTTCTAGGTTGAAGGGTTGATACCTATATTAGCTTGCGCAGATAGAAGTCTTAAAGTTCTAAAAAACAGGTATTTTGGACTAATAAATGGACTCAAGAAAAAAAAGATTTGTTGAAAAAAAACATTTAACACAATTTACGATTATTTTGTTCAACATTTTTAACAAAATAAGAGGGAAAAAAATTGCAGCATTTTTTATTAAAATTTTCGAAATTTTGACATTCATTCAATAATTTTAGAATTGCGAAAAAATGTTGAGGTTTCCGTAACAATACTAAAAATAGTAATACATTAGCGTTCTAGCACTGCACTGCCTTCATAAATTTAAAATCTGCAAAGATGTTAGTTTCTAGCTTTCGAGTTCTTAAGGAGTAATTGGCAACATCCTAATATACTTTTATTGTCAACCGTGCTAATTTTTAAATGTACACAACGTTTTAACCATCTATAGATTTTATAGAATTATTCACCACGAAGGTTCAAAAAAATGTATAAAGTTGAAAACTCCGCATTTAAGAATTCTAAATGCATGAATATACTCCAAAACATTTGATGGGACAGCCTGTACACACCCTGTACCCTTCTGTGTCTACACCTTGTACCTCTTTGCGTCTATTTAGTGAGATACTGTACACCTGCGAGTTGCCCGGCCCCCCAACTGTCCTCCAGCTGTTTTACAACGACGGGGGTGATGAGGGGGAGCAGGTCCTCTACGGGACCCTGGATGGGAAGGTTGGGGTCATGAATATAGGAGGGGCTGAACCATCAGCAGGTAATTTAGATTTGAATTTTTTTTTTGATTTTTTGTAGACTTTTTTCTGAATTTGTTAATTTGCAGATTATGCATGTAAATACTCTTAACCCTAAACAGGCTAGGGGGGGGGGGTGCCAAACATGGAGTTTTTTTGTCCTACCACTCTTATTTTTGACACTATCACCGTGAAATTTTTTGACTTTTAATAAAAAGTAATTTAAAGGTTTATTTGTTAAACATTTTTTTGAAAAAAAATCTAAAATAGCCTATACATTTTTTGCTACAGATCTAAAGACTATAGTTCTAAATAGCCATTGAAAAATGCATGTGTCACACATTGATATTTGTTAAAAGCAAAAAAAAATATTTTTTTATTTTTGGACCCTTTTTAGGCATTTTTTTCAACCCTCTCCAGCACCTAAACTATTAAAGTTATCGGTCTAATTTTTTTTCTATGAGCTGGCCTTGAAAATTTGGGCTATGAACTTGCATTTCAACCCTATACCTATTCTCTAAGGTCTTTTTTAAGGGGGGGGGGGCGCCAAACAGGGTTAAGAAATGTCAATTGTTCATCTAACAAAGTTTGTTGGAGCACCAGGCCAAATTCAACTTAGAAGCAATATTTGTCAAATTTTGTTAAAACAAATCAATCATTCATAAAACTTTAAGCAATCAAGCAGTTCAAGTGAAGTTGGCTCCAACAAATGTTGGTAGATAAAATTTGACATTTCTTAAAGTATTTACATTAAGATCTTTAGAAACTAGTTTTTGAATCAACCTTAAACTAAAACTTTTATTTTTCGCCTTTGCATCGCATCAATTGCCTTTAAAGTGTATTTTTTTAAGGTTGGGTTTTAGAAAAGGAAGGACAGTACTCTAGTATTCAGGTTCTGGATAACTTTGATATTACAGGTAGGACAGAACACTAGTAATCAGGTTCTGCATAACTTTGATAATACAGGTAGGACAGTACTCTGGTATTCAGGTTCTGGATAACTTTGATATTACAGTTAGGACAGTACTCTAGTGTTCAGGTTCTGGAAAATTTTGATATTACAGGTAGGACAGCACTCTAGTATTCAGGTTCTGGATAACTTTGATATTACAGGTATGTGCAGTACTCTAGTATTCAGGTCCTGGATACCTTTGATATTATAGGTAGGACAGTACTCTAGTATTCAGGTTCTGGATAACTTTGATATTACAGGTAGGAAAGGAAAGAAGCTTTTTAGTCCTAAACTTTAATTTTTTAAGTGGTATACACATAGAGAATAGAATATATATATTCTATTCTCTATGGGTATACATTTGATATTTTAAACTACGACAAGTGCAAACCCAAATAGTTAAATCAAAGATTTAACACCATAGATAAGGGAATAAAAAAATTTTATTTTGGAGCTTGGTTCTTTGAATTTGACGAAAGATTGGCTAAATGAGTTTATCTCAATATGTTTCTCCAAATGTTTCTAGTTCATGGTGTTAATTCAACTTAATTAGTAGAAATATTTCATGCAGTAAAATAGTGTTTTTAATTCTTTTTTAATTCTACGGTGGTAGATGATTACAGCGGTATAATTATGACGACCGTTTTATTTAAGTTTTTATTGTTAATAAGATTTTTTCAAATTACAAGTTTACAAGCAACTAAAGAGAAGCTTTCTTTTTGTGTATTCATGCTGTTTAAAAGCTTGATATAGTTCAAAATTAGAATCGAAAGTCGTCTTCATTTTATTGATATAATCGCCTACAACCGTATTATTAATTTTTCGGTCAAATTTGACAATAGTAAAAACAGGTTATAGCTTAAACACATTATTTGTTAAGGGGATGGAATGAGAGATCTAATTGTTGGAAGAAATGATGGAACCATAGAGGTTTATTCATATGAGGTTAGTCAGCTTTATTTGAAAAACAATTGTCCTGCTCATGGCAATAGAAATGTGGGATGAAGTGTAAATCAATTTTGAAAATCAAGTATTTCCTAGTTCTTCGCATTAAAGGTAAGAGCATTAATACAAGCATGTTCTAAGCTTATGCTATGGATGCTAAATTGGGTACCCTGACAATGCTGAAGTAGTGACCCTCACAATACTAAAGTGGTGACCCTGACATTGCTAAAGTGGTGTCCATAACAATTTTAAAGTGGTGACCCTGACAATTATAAAGTGGTGTCCCAAACAATACTAGAGTGGTGACCCTGACAATGCATAAGTTGTGACCTTAACAATGCTAAAGTAGTTGCCCCCATTATTTAACTTTATTTATGATCAGGACGGAGAGGAATCTGAACCTGAACTGAAGTTGACCCATCACTGCGGTGAAAGTGTATCTGGACTGGAGGGAGGAATAGTTGGCTATCAAGGCTATGAGGAGGTTGTAGCAGCTACTTATACTGGAAAGGTATTGCTTGAATATAATTGAAGTATTGGCCTTTTATTAGTTTTACTTAAGATGCACTGTAAAAAAAATCGTAAAAGTTGTATGTATCCAATATTTTTAGAAATGATAAAGACAAATCAAATTTACACTTTTTACAATGCTACAATTTCAAAGAAACATTGAACTTTTTTTTATAAAATCATCTTTTATTTAGGTTTTTGGCCTGACAACCCTTCCAGGGGGAAGTTCTGCACTTTCAACAAGGATTGCAACTATTATTTAAAAGCATTAATCACAAATAAAATCTAAACTTAAATTTTCTAATCCTAATAACGTTGCAACCTGATATTGTAAACCTTTAATATTTCAAACTGTGCCTGTTTTCTCTAGCAAAATCCATGATTCAGAATATCAAAGTTCTACACTCTATCTACATTAGGTTGCAAAAATTTAAGAATCAAAAACTTAGAGTAAGTGGCAAGTGTTGAGTTGCCTTCTTATAAGACCCACCCCCCTGCCAAAGTTTATTTACGTTTTTAAATCTATTATTTTCAATTCTGTCAATTCCCTTCATGGTCTTTGCAACATGAAACCACATTTCACTTGTATACAGAAACCGCAATCAAAATTTTAGAAATGGAAAAAAGTATATCTCATTTAACTTAATCTAATAAAAGGCTTTGACATAACTCAAAAAGTATTGGATGAAATTTTCTGACTTTTCCTAAATACCCATAGTCCTCCCATAAGATCTAAAACCGGGCTTTCATACTGACTGTCTGAGTCCTCAGGCACACTCCCTAAATGACTACTTTTTCCTTTAGTAAACTAAATCTTTGTTTTGACCCATTTTCAGTTGTCAAGGAAACGGAATGTACAAGTTCTGCAAAGAAATTTTTGCAAATTATTAGCATACAACCCATCAAAAGAAATCTGCACATTTTTAGTTTTTCTTAATTACACATCATGGTAACTTAAAATTTGGCAAATATTATTTTATATTTGAAATGTAATGGTCAAGTGCTTTTCAAAAATGTATATTTTTTCAGTTTTTGGACATGAGATTTAGCGGAGGGGGGTTAAATTGAACCCCCTTCCCCAGAGTATCCTGGTTTTCAATTACCTAGCAAGGATAGTGTTAAAATGACACTAAAATTGTCGTTTAAAATCTCTAATTTCCAATGGTTGGTGCAGGAAGCTAAGTTCTGATGCACAACAACGATTGCTCAAACTGAAATCTGAAGTCGACGATCTACAGAATACTGTCAGCAAAGAGAGAGAAAAGTAAGATTATAACTTTTGTCTTCAAATATTAAGATTTTTTACAGTCCACCAATGAAAAAATGTTTTGATTTTGACATTTAAAATTTCTTCTTTAATTTACATTTGTAATTTTAATTAGACTAAATGGAACAATTTTCTTGAATTAGAAATTGAGCATATGATATTGTGGTTTTATACATCTACCTAGTTCAACTACTTATTCTTTTCATTAACTGTTTTCCCTGATAATTTCAGATATCAAGAACAGGCTGCCAGCCTATTCGGTGGAATGTCTACAATTCCTAAGCTCAGTATCAACGATAAATTCACTTTGAATCAGACGGATGCATCATATTCTCTTAGTCTGGAATGTCAAACTTCTATAGGTAATATTATCTAATAAATTAGAACTTCTATAGATAATATTATCTAATAAATTAGAACTTCTATAGATAATATTATCTAATAAATTAGAACTTCTATAGATAATATTATCTAATAAATTAGAACTTCTATAGATAATATTATCTAATAAATTAGAACTTCTATAGATAATATTATCTAATAAATTAGAACTTCTATAGATAATATTATCTAATAAATTAGAACTTCTATAGATAATATTATCTAATAAATTAGAACTTCTATAGATAATATTATCTAATAAATTAGAACTTCTATAGATAATATTATCTAATAAATTAGAACTTCTATAGGTAATATTATCTAATAAATTAGAACTTCTATAGGTAATATTCTCTAATAAATTAGAAATTCTATAGGTAATATTATCTAATAAATTAGAACTTCTATAGGTAATATTCTCTAATAAATTAGAAATTCTATAGGTAATATTATCTAAATAAATTAGAACTTCTATATTATTATCTAATAAATTAGATAATAATAAATTATTCTGTGGTAACTTATAACATGACCTCAAGGAAAGTTTATAAATCTATGAGAAGTCAGATTAGAAAAGTTTGCCCCACCTAATTATGAACTTTATTTAATATTGAAAATACGTCAATAAAATTAACAAAATCCGCCAATATTTTTACTTTTTTTAAATTATATTTTTTCATTTCAAAAAGTTTGCAGATTGATCAGGAACACATCTGATATTGAAGTTACACTGATGTAGAAAGTTTAGATAACATGATCTTCTACACAGCGATGTACTTATTATAGTACTGCTACATGGTTAGATGACAGCGATGTACTAATACTAATACTTAAATGCTACACTGAATATTTAGATAATGTTCTGCTACACAGTAATGTTCTAATACTAACATAATGCTACACTGAATGTTCACATAATGTTTTGTTACACATCGATGTTCTAATACTAATACTAATGCTACACTGATTGTATAGATAATTTTTTGCTAAACAGCGATGAGCAAATACTAATACTAATGTTACACTAAATATTTAAACATGTTTTGCTACACAGTGATGTTCTTTTTGTAATACTAATGCTACACTACATGTCCAGATAATGTTTTGCTACACAGCGATGTTCTAATAATAATACTAATGCTACACTGAATGTTTAGACAATGTTTTGCTACACAGTAATTTTCTATTTCTAATACTAATGCTACACCACGTGTTTAGAACATGTTTTGCTACACAGCGATGTTCTAATACTTTTACTAATGCTACACTACATGTAGAACATGTTTTGCTACACAGTGATGTTCTAGTTCTAATACTAATGCTACACTATATGTTTAGAACATGTTTTGCTACACAGTGATATGTACTAACACAAATATACTAATGCTACACTAAATGTTCAGATAATGTTTTGCTACACAGTGATGTTCTATTTCTAATACTAATGCTACATTACATGTTTAGAACATGTTTTGCTACACAGTGATGTTCTATTTCTAATACTGATGCTACATTATATGTTTAGAACATGTTTTGCTACAAAGTGATATTCTATTTCTAATACTAATGCTGCATTACATGTTTAGAACATGTTTTACTACACAGTGATGTACCTGTTGACCTGCTGGATGTGGAAAAGAATTCAGCTGTAGTTAGCTATAGTACCTGCAATCCTGAGGATGGAAACTTTCTTCTAGCCACTTACAGGTTGATAAAAAAACATTTTTTATAATTTAAATATAATGAAAAACCGCGAAACATTGCCCTCTGTGATTATACAGTGTGTCCCAAATTGACATGACAATTTCTTTAAAAGTAGAGGAGTTCGAAATTTTTTTGTGATTTAAAAGTGTGATTTTTGAGGCAAACATTAACCTTGTGCGTCGTCAAGTGATTTTTAAAATGTCGTCTTACTGTTTATTGAGCAGATATAAATAATCTTGTTTAATCAAATAAAACATCTAATATCTTTGTATTTTTAAAGTTTAACAGTATTATATTCACGGGCAGCCGTAGTACATTTTAATTACCGAGCCGGGTCAACCTTTCCGGTCCCAGTTTGTACTGTACCTGGCTCTATGGACAGAACTAGCCGGTGCAACAAGGTTGACGCGGTCCGACTTTATGCTTCATAAAGGTTGAATTTACTTTTACTAAAGGGGCAGAGGTGCGTGTATTGTGATTATATAACCTGTAAAGGGACTGTAGCTATATCTTCAAATGACCTTCTTTAAACCTAGTTGGTTGATAAAGAATGACAAATCATTATTGTTTTTTATTTGAAACAGTTTTTTAACCGCAATAATTTACAAAGATTTGAAAGTGTAGCGAATCGAACACTATCACCAGATACACTTTACCTTATTTAGGTGTCAAGCGAACACAAATAGACTTGAGATTAAAATCCGTACAATCGAAGGACAGTACGGTACCATGACAGCCTATATTACACCCCGCCTACAACCAAAGTGCTGCCAGATCCAGACTTACAAGATCAGACCTCTTAGCTTACATATGCGGGCTCATAATATTGATAAGGAGAGACACTACAATGTTTTAACACTCTCAGGCAACTTTACATTGGCGGAAATACACTCATGGATCTCTTTTTGTATTCCAGAGGTAGAATTTTAATTCGGGGTCGGGTTTAAAAAAGAAAAGTATATACTGCACAAGTTATAAGCTAGTGAGCTTCTTGACAAAAGTAATATAAAGTTAAACGCCATTTTATCTTTGCTTGTTCACTAAATAAAATTTAAATTTCTATTTTGTACCCGTAGTATTGACGCTAGTGAGATTTGTAAATCCGAAATGAGAATTAAACTTTCAACTTTTATATTACTTTTGTCATGAAGTTCACTACCCTAGAACTTGACAGTACATACTGCTCAATTCTTTAAACTGGGGCATTTATTATTATTTCTTAAGGGCAGGATTGTCCATACAACTTCTATTCACAGACAGCAAACTGTTTTTTACGAGCGGAAATAATCATTATGTTTTCGTTTTAACTAGACAAACTTGAAAAAAAATTTTTTTTCATGATTGCAAGATCAGTACTGATGATTGCTCAAGGATGAAGATTGATGAACGATCATTATGATGATTGATAACTTGATGATGATGATGATTGAGAACTAATCAATGGTGATGATTGATGACTTTTTAATTATGACGATTAAATAATGCATATAATGTTTTTCAAAAATAATGCATTGATCGATGATGATGATTAAGGACTGATTGATAATGATGGATTGATCAATGATGATTCGATGATGAATGATTGATAATGATGATTGATCAATCATGATGATAAATGACTGTTTAATAATGGTGGATTGATCAATGATGATGATTGGTTAATAATGATGATTATTGACTGATTGATAATGATGAATTGATCAATAATGATGCGATTGATGATTCGATTGATTAATAATGATGAATGATTAATTATGATTTTTGATCAATCATGATGATAAATGTTTAATAATGGTGGATTGATCAATGATGATGATTGATTAATACTGATGATTATTGACTGATTAATAATGATGGATTGATCAATAATGATGCATTGATCAGGTATCTGAACGAGTACCTGCTGGTGATGATGTAAATGTTTCCTTTGTTTCAACATTTCTTGATACCATCCTTCAGTGCAATTATTCAAAAGGTGATTCTTCTATAAATGTGGCTTTTGGAAATGATGTTTTGTGGAATGTTTACAAATTTTATCTTCAAGGACATGTAAGGGTCTTTTAACGTAATTTTAGAGGACCCGCCTTCCATGTACAATTCATAAATGTTTCAAAAGGCCTTGACGGGGAACCAAATATCGAAAACATATTGACCAATTTCGTCAGTTTAATTTATTTCATGTTTTTTTTAAATTCTAATTCTAGGTGAAAGTTCCTTTATGTCTGATAACATTTCAACTATCTCCATCTTGAAGGATTTTCTAACCAGGGAGGCGACAAAGAAGAAGATTCAACTCGAGATGAGTTGCAAGGTTTATATTATTTTATCTTGGTTTAACTTAGAAGAGACTTTAGACAAATTTTGGTAATTTGTAAGGCGACATAGAAGAAGATTCAACTCGAGATGAGTTGCAAGGTTTATGTTATTTTATCTTGGTTTAACTTAGAAGAGACTTTAGACAAATTTTGGTAATTTGTAAGGCGACATAGAAGAAGATTCAACTCGAGATGAGTTGCAAGGTTTATGTTATTTTATCTTGGTTTAACTTAGAAGAGACTTTAGACAAACTTTGGTAATTTCTGAGGCGACAGAGAAGAAGATTTAACTCGTGATGAGTTGCAAGGTTTACATTATTTTATCTTGGTTTAACTAAAAGAGACTTGAGACAAATTTTGGTAATTTCTAAGGCGACATAGAAGAAGATTCAACTCGAGATGAGTTGCAAGGTTTACAATATTTTATCTTGGTTTAACTGAAAGAGACTTGAGACAAAATGTGGTAATTTCTGACCGTATAGGGGTTGTGGTAAGGCCCTCTCTCAAATTTAGGCCCGAAGCCTTGGGGGGGATTAAAATAAATATTTATTTTTTAAATCACGAAACCTCGACTACCAATCAAGAAGAGGCCTTACCCACCTATGTAGATAGCATGGGCAGATATGAAAATGTTAGCAAACTTTAACAACTAAGTGCTTAACAGCCACAGCGGCACTCGGCCCCCTAGCCCATCTCAGCTGCAGCGCTCGGCCCAAATATAATCCCAACCAACCCCAACCCACGCTATAGATAACATGAGCAGATTGTAATTGTAAAGCACAATTAAATGTGAACAAAATGTGTGATTGTCGGCAATAGGTTTCACGGTTTATTTCTTAAGATATGTATGGTTATTTTTTATTGGGGCCTATGATAGATAGATAGAACTTATCACGTGACCTAATGGTTGGATTTGAGACAAGGCTTGAACCCAAAATTGTAACTCGAAATGTACTTAGGGTCTGTAAGCGTAATTTCAAGTAACCCTTCATGCAAAGATGGCAATACCTAACGATGCCCTTAAAACCTTTATTATCATTATTGTAAAAGATATTATAGTTTTTCTTTATATATGCTTTCCTGCGGCAGAAATGCGCTGTGTAGTCACTTTTCTAGAGAAATGCCAATTGCAAATAATCAGATATCTAATTAATATGTCAAGCAGACAAAGTTTTAATGGGGACTGTTGTAATTCGGGAAGTGCTATCCTTTAAGTTTTTAAGGATACAATCGATTAGACATTTATCAAAATTCTTCATCCAACCCCCCCCCCCCCCGCCATTCGGCCCAGTGCATAAATATGTTTGAAATCTTAGTTTGTAATTAGGTGAATGACGAAAGTGTGATTGAAACTTTGAACCATATTCATCCAAAACTAGGTAATTACATATATTTACAATGAGAAGAAAAAATAATACAGTGGTCCTCAAAAATCATTGTTGTTTTTAGAGTCACAGTTGCTGTTGGCAAAACAGGTTGCTCTGATAGAACCGTTAAAAGATTTAGCTGCTCATGAAACAGATACAACATTCTTATCTCCAGAATATAGGTAGGTATTCTGACATTCTTATTTCCAATCAGATAGACTGCATTTTTTGGAAGGACTTAAAACAAATTCAGTACCGCGTAGTGTTGGCATTCTCCCAAGAAACTCAGTATAGAGTCGTCGCATAATTGCACTAAATGACTGGTTAGATTTTTTTGGGAGAGCCAGTAATTAATTATAAATTATAATTTCACGAAAATATGCAGTTTTTATTCTAAGAATCTTATTATTGGATGAATTATAAAATTTGTATATTTTCAGATATATATTGGAACATTCATTGCAGCTTGAGGCTCAGTTTAAAAGGCAGCCCGCCAGGTAACTCATAAAGTTCACTTAATTACACCCTGTTCTTTCAAAGGGGGTTTCCTGATTCTCCTTGATAAAATGAATAAGATATCCTTGTTTTCTATCTGAAAATTTATACTTCCCTTTTCTCTTTAAAAGAGACTTTTGAATTTATGCAGTAGAAACAAGGAAAAAAACTGTCAGAAAAACGACGATATCTTCTTCAAATTGTTGCTTTACGGGCATTTAAGTCACCAAAGGGGTCAATAGAAATTTCAACATTAGAACATTAGTGAAGATATCAATTCTATTCTTACAAGAAAGTGTTCTTAACTTCTTTAGTTTTAATATTTAACATTTAATCAGTTAATTTATTTGAATAGACTTGAACGCTTGTACGGGATGATTACTGATCTTTACATTGATCACTTCAAATTTAAGGTAAGCACTGAAACATTAACTTTTAAAAGGATTCAGAAATAAAATTTAAATATTTATTTTATAATTTATAAAATTGAACAAAATATATATAAATCTAGGAATAAATATGTAAATGTTTATTTTTTTGTGAGCAAATTTTTCTTACTTCAGAGAAAAATCTTTCCCCTTTTAAAAACATAAATTTTTTAATTTTTATAATTGTTATTCTATAGATGGTATTTTAAAATTCAGGGCAACATATTTTAAGTTTTAGGGGCAATGCATTTTAAGTTTCAGGGGCAGATTATTTATATTTATTTTAGGGGCAAATTATATATATTTTTATTGTATGGGCAGATTATATATTTTTTTGTATGGGCAGATTAATATATATTTTTATTGTATGGGCAGATTTTATATTTTTATTGTATGGGCAGATTATATATTTTTATTTTAGAGGCAGATTATATATTTTTATTGTATGGGCAGATTATATATTTTAATTTTATGGGCAGATTATATATTTTTATTGTATGGGCAGATTATATATTTTTATTGTATGGGCAGATTATATATTTTTATTGTATGGGAACTAGGCAGATTATATATTTTTATTTTAGGGGCAGAATGTGAAAAACCGTGTTCCACAACTACTTGAGATTCTGGATAAATATGAACAAGAGAAATTGATTGATTTTTTCCAGACAGAAGTCAGTTAACTTTAGACAGAAGTCAGTTAACTTTAGACAGAAGTCAGTTAACTTTAGACAGAAGTCAGCTAACTTTAGACAGAAGTCAGTTAACTTTAGACAGAAGTCAGTTAACTTTAAACAGAAGTCAGTTAACTTTAGACAGAAGTCAGTTAACTTTAGACAGAAGTCAGTTAACTTTAGACAGAAGTCAGTTAACTTTAAACAGAAGTCAGTTAACTTTAGACAGAAGTCAGTTAACTTTAAACAGAAGTCAGTTTACTTTAGACAGAAGTCAGTTAACTTTAGACAGAAGTCAGCTAACTTTAGACAGAAGTCAGTTAACTTTAGACAGAAGTCAGCTAAATTTAGTTAAGAGTCAGCCAACTCCAGTCAGAGGTGTACTAACTTCGGATCAAAGTCAATTAACTGAAAACTTCAGTCAGAAGTTAGTTTAACATAGGTTAACCTATCTTCCGACAGAAGTCAGTAAACAGTCAGTTAATTTGAAAAAGAAGTATGCTCCATTCTCTTTACTTCTAATAATGTAAAGTAAAGCCTATTTCATGAATTTATATAAACAAAACAATGCAGGGAAAAAGTTTCTGGAACTAAAAACTTTGAGAAAAATCCTAAGTCCTGGTTTGCTTAAATACAAAAATAAAATATGGCTTGAAATGCATGGAGAGAACCAGAAAACTATGGAATTAGAAGACGACCTTAAAGGTTTAATTATTTGTATTTGATGTAAATAAACAGCAAACAATTTCACGAGCAGCCCAAAAATTAACTTATTTAGTCATAAATTCAGTCTCAAAGTCGTCTTCCTGTCAAAAATTTTCTGGTCGGTTATCCTATGAAATTCCAAACAAGAATTAACTAACTTCAATCTGAAAATTACTAACTTAATATCAGCAATACACTTTTTAATTTTTGTTTTAAATTTTTCAAATAGTAATAAATAAATAAATAAATTAATTAATATTTTACCCCCCCCCGTCACTGGTCAATATTTAGATTAACATTTGATAGAGGGCATTTCTATCAGTAAACGTTAATATATAATGTACTTTTGCTATGAAAAGGTAAGAATAATTTTCTAAATAATATAAAATGTTATGAGAACTCTAGCTTGTCTAGGCAGCCAGAGCTGTTAAAGTAAACATACATACATACAGACTAAAGAAGGCAATAAAGGGATAGTTTAGGGAATTTTAACCTGTTTATAACAGGAGCAGGCACCCCTATACCCTTATCCATCATACACTGTATTGCAGACCCATTTGTATCAATATAGCTGTAGCCTAGATACAATATCATTATAATTATCATTATTATTATTTTTATTATTATTATTATTATTATTATTATATTATTATTATTATTATTATTATTATTATTATTGATATTGTTGTTATCATTTTATTTTACCTGTAACGAGAAGTACTGCAATTGCAAGAAACCCAAAAGTGAACTGTGTCAAATTTAAAATAACTTTTGGAATACAATTTGCTTACAAAATCCTAGTATATTAATTTTTTTTTTTAAACATCCAATTCTGTTTATTTTTACATAACAAATTAAGGTCAATAAAGTTGTTATATCAAAAGTTTAAAATATTTTTTTTTATTTTGTTGTTTAAACAGTTCCTGGTAATGCAGCCTAAATGATAAATACAGACTTAGCTTTTGCAAGAATCATTCATTCGTTTTTTGATCTTTAGTTTGCTTAGCTCACACTAAACTAAGCTAGTAAGGTAGGTAAAATAGACCGGGAACTGTTAAATATTCTGTCCGCGCCACCAAATTTGAAACAGAGTCTGCATAGAATAGGGTCGGGACGGTACTTGCCGCAGCCGTGGTATATTTGAATTTCCGAGCCGGGTCAATCTTTCCGGTCCCAGTTTGTATTTTTCTTAGCTCTATGGACAGGACTAGCTGGTGCAAAAAGGTCAGACTTTATGCTTCATATAGATTGAATTTACTTTTACTCCACTGTGAGATTGCCCGAATTTACAATTATGTTCACTTTGAAACGAATTCTCGTGTATAAGATAGACCTAGGGAAAATATTATGAATCGATTTGAAATACTTGTTTTCATATTCACAGGTGAAGTNAGGCGTAAATTTTTTAACCTATTATGGACAAAAAAAAAACCTGTAAACCATAGATTTCACTGACCCCATATCCCCCCCTCCCCACTCAAAAAAAGGCTTTTGCTTACATTTCTATAAATGTGTTCAAAAAGAGATTTTCTTCTCTCTCAGTCGACCTCGAGAACGTTCTTTGGAAGTACAAAACTGGGAACCATCGGATATCTTCAAATTGAAGTAAAATTAAAAGTTTTTATGTGATCAATCTGAGCTGGGAATTTTTAAATGGTGGATATCGGGATTAACGCTTGATCCACTCTTTTCTTAATCTCCAGATTAAATAATGCTTGTTCTCCTCTTGTTATTAATCTACAGATTAATTAACCGATTGGGATTAAGGATATCTCATTCTGAAGTATTCAGCTCAGAACTCCTCCTATTGAAGAGCAAGAGAAGAGAAAAAAAATGTTTACAATTTTTATTTTGTAACTGGAAAAATTAGCTTTTTTGAACTTGGGCGTAAAATCAAAGCTAGAGAATCTAAGAGATCACAATGTCGTAATAGTAATTTCGGATAAATTTGGTCTTCTCCTCCTATCTAGTTCAATGTGGAATAGAATTAATATTATAAGAATTCAAAATTTAGTTTATTCTGAACCTTCTTCAGTTCTTGCAAAAATATTCTTTTTATTATTTTTTATTAAATGTATGTGTCTGTATTTTCCTAAACACAAAGTTGTCTGGTCTAGGAGATTGTACCTAAACATTTAATTAAAAGTGAATATTTGTTTTTTTTTAAAAATAAATAAATATATAAAATCAAAATGATTGATCACTTCGTTTACTGTTTATAAGACGGACTGTCAATGTAATTTATTTATTTGTCTTATTCACAAAATGTACCCTGTGCAGTGTGCACCCCTCTCTTTAAAGGGTGAAGGAGATATGCTCATTTTTAGTTAAAACTTAACTAGTTTCAATTTTGACTTCTCTATTACAATAACTCGCGGTAATAAGCTGTGGAAACAATGAACAGTATCTTGATATTTTCAAAATTCAACACGTTTTAAGTTTACTCAAAGAACGGAGGGAAAGAGTACAGGTGAGAATCGGACATGAGATATATCTGCACTATATTTATAAATGGAGGCTTTAACTTTAAATAGGTCTAAACAGTCCCTCTAAACAACACTCATGAATTGTAAAACTACTACCTTCGGTTTCCTTGAAAGAAGCTTCTTGGTCCCTTTGAACGCCTCATACATCCTGAACGATCCCTTAGTTTATCTGTAAGAGAACAGTTTTGTTACAAAATGAGAATAAAAAATAGTTGCAATGAGAGAAAAGAGTTTATTGGCCAGGTTTTACACAGTTAAGCTGAGAAATTTTGCGCGCCATTTTGAATTAAAAAATACAGAAACGGGAGGAACTCTCTAATTTTGAAAAACCGGTTTTCGATTTTTCTGAACTGTATCCAAAAAAAGAGTAGATATAGCAAGAAATTAAAAGTGTCCACATTGGATATTCGGATTAAAGATGTATCATTCTAAAGTTCCCAGCTCTGTTTACATATTTATAAAGAACATTTTTAGAAACTTGTTAATTCTTTGCTAAACATATTCAAGCAACCTGGATAGTAGTGATACACACATAACATGGAAGTTTTCTTGTAATTTTGTTATTTTAAAAACTTGTTAGAAGTTCGTCTTTATTGTATTGGAATAAACGCCGACTGCTTTGTATTTTCAGTAATTTCTAGATCAACACAAACATATCTACAGGCTTTTTAGGGTGGACCACTTAACCCTATCCCTGCCGGGGTACTTGAAAACCAAGATACGCTCTAAATCCTATTTTTGATGTCCAAATATGACAAATGATATATCATTGGAAAGCTCTTATATGCTCTACATTTAGAATCTGCAAAAAAAATTTCAAATTTGCAAAACTATATTTTTTGGTAAATTCCAATTCTATAGTAAAAAGGTTAGTAAAAATGTTGTCAAAAAAAATGATAAAAATACTTTATTGAAAAGCCCTTACCCATGCGATTTCAAGTATGCAAACATTTTTGCTAAATTTGAATAACCTGGTGTTCAATTAAAGAAAAACCTTAAAAATGTGCAAATTTCTTTTGACGGGTTGTATGCAAATAATTTGCAAACTTTTTTTGCGAAACATGTGCAATCCATTTTCTCATGACATTGGCTTTCCAGAAAGCTAAACATTCGCAAAATCTGACAACTGAAAGGGGGTCAAAACAACAATTTAGTTTGTTACAGGCAGTTAGTATAACAGCCCGGATTTAGACCTAAAGGGAGGGCTTTGTGTATTTAGGAAAAGTCAGAAAATTTAAACAGCCTCAGACCAACACTTTTTGAGTTATGTAAAAACAACTACAGGGGGGTAAAATTTACTATCCCCCTCTCCCAGCAGAATAGGGTTAAATAAAGTCGCTTTTTAGATTTTTAATGATTTACCTTTATCTTAAGAAGTTACTATATACAATGCTATGGTAGCATCGAATATCGAAATTATAAATATAATGTTAACATTAGTAAGAAATCCCTAAAATCTTGTTCACCATTTCAAAAAACTTTCTGTAACGAACTTAATTTGAGAATTTTTTAACAGAGAGATGAGAGAAGGAAAGATAGTGACTAAGAGTAAAACAAATTTTGGGATCAAAAGTTCTCTTATCTTTGCTAAATGCATCTTATCTTTACACCTATAGCGTTCCATATATGTTGATCGACATAAAGTTCATATAATCCGTCTAACGAATAAATTATATTCGAGACATCAAAGTACAGTGAAACCCTTAATAACGAATACATCGGAAGAATTTATCAAATGTCTTCTTGACAATTTTCAATGAGTTTTATACTATATTACGTAAATTTCAGTATTTGCGAAAATAAATAAATAGACATGAATATGCGGGAACAGTTTTAAAGAGTTCCATATAATCATTAAATTAAAAAACTAAATATCTGCAACATTCCATAATCAGAAAGTGAAGAATACGACATTTGATGAATTCTTTCGATGTATTCTTTATTAAGGGTTTCACTGTACATTAAATTAAAACAAAGAATTGCCATAAATAGGCTCACGTACAAAAGGTAGAATTACAAAAGGTAGAATTACAAAAGGTAGAATTACAAAAGGTAGAATTACAAAAGGTAGAATTACAAAAGGTAGAATTACAAAAGGTAGAACAATCAAAAAGTAGAACGATCAAAAGGTAGAATAAACAAAAGGTAGAACGTTCAAAAAGGTAGAATTACAAAAGGTAGAACGTTCAAAATGTAGATTTTTTTTATTATTGAGAAGGAAGAAAATGTTCTAATTTTTACAAGAAAATCTGCGAATTAAAAAAAAATTCACAAAACTGCATTTGTCGGTTGAATTCAGCATGGAGAGGTTGGTCAACTATGGGGTGAATCAAAAGAAGAAAAGAACATTGATTGACGACCAGAAATATGAATATAATTTTGAGAAAATTAAGAATGGAACAGAGTTCATGCCAGTGGTGCAAACAGCACTGAGAACGCTCGCAAACAAAAACAGAGAGAAAACGAACTAGCATTAAAAACATGAACGAAAAGTATATTAATATCCCTGCACCAGACTATATGAAACAGCTTGCCAAAATTATTGGCATGGATTAAAATCATGTACATTTGTAGAATAAAGATTATTCCTAACAAATAAGAAACATTATTTTTTGACTTTTTTTGAAATTTTTTTTTTTGGAAAATTCTACCTTTTGTACCTTCTACCTTTGTAATTCTACCTTTTGAACACTCTACCTTTTGTTTATTCTACCTTTTGATCGTTCTACCTCTTGTCGTTCTACCTTTTGATCGTTCTACCTCTTGTCGTTCTACCTTTTGATCGTTCTACCTCTTGTCGTTCTACCTTTTGTAATTCTACCTTTTGTACTGGAGCCCATAAATATGCTCATTAAACTCTAAAAGAGTGGGATTTTTATATTTTTATTCAAAATCTCAATATTGTTAACGAGGTTGGGTAATGTTTATGTGAGCATCTTTAACATGTCTTTAAGGGTGAAAAAAGGTAAAAAAAATGTCACGACAATAAATAAAAACTTATAACAAATTATGAACATTGACATATATTTCATGCCGTTAAGAAACCAGCGTTACCATGCACGTGGGGTCATTTGAAATTATGCTTATGCTTATGTATTAATATGAATACAAATTATTCTTTTATTTTTACGCAAATCCAAGGTTATAATGCAAGGAAAGAATAATTTCAGATGTGTACGCATCTTTTGTACTGCAGTGTATTGTCTCTGGGCGGTAATGTAAACACAAGACGGATGTCACAGCCTGACATGGGATCCATCTTTAACATAAAAAATCAATGAAATATTCTGGTCAGACTTTTATGTGAATTATCAAAATTATCAACAAGAAATGCTTAAAATTAAATCCACTGATTTACTAAACAAACACTTATGCATCTATTCTTGTTTACAGATTCCGCCCAGAGACAACTGGTGTCAATATGTATGCAGAGTATACGCAACTGCAATTTACTTTCCTTGCATTATAACCTTGCGCAGATCTATCTTTTGCAGGGTGTTCCACATTATCTAGGATGTGTGCAATGTGCAATGTGCAGATTTAAATGGGTGTTTTGATGCAAATCAAATTTGAAAAGTGATTAATTAATTAAACATATTTTAGGCTATCAATTAGAAATAATGCATACAATGATAGTATGTCTTTTTTTATTAATTCTTTATGTGTATAATAGACAGTTTTAATTTTACATTTTATCAACATAAATTCAAACAGATTCCGACCTTACAAGTCACAGTTTACTCTTTTAAAGATAAAGGAAACTGGGTTCGCCTAATCTCTCAAAATTAAACAAACTAAAAATTTAAAACGTTGAGATTGACTGATTTTCTAAAACAAATGTTGAGTTTTTTTTTACAGTTGAATTAGGTGAAGGAGTAATTACTTCGAAGATAAGAATAACTCTACTCGGATAGTGAGATAGATAGAAAGATAAATGTTACCGCCATTCTATTTCTATTGGTTCAGAATAGACAACAAACACATGACTGAACCCTGATTGGATCAGACTCTAATGGACTCGGCATACAGGAGTGATGGCTATTTTTTTCGCAAATACTGAAATTTACGTAAAATAGTATAAAACCTATTGAAAAATTGTAAAGACGACATTTGATAAATTCGACGTATATTTTAACTGTACTTTTTCACTTTTACTCTTTAAAGCCCTGTAAAGGCGACTTGCAGCACTGAAGATATGTCGGTTCCAAGCTTCGTTGGATTATACTGGCTTCATTACTAATTTGACAAAGTAAGAAACAAGTTTAAAGTTGCAGGAAATCATACATTTACGAAAACAGACAGAATAAATTCCGTACCGTCGTGTCTGAGTACGTTTTCATCCTTTCAAAATTTTAGGTAACCAAACACATCATTAAATTACTTTGTTTTAGACTGAATACTTTCAGTTTTTACTAGTTTTTTAGTTAAAAAAGTAAGAAAATGATATGAATTAAAATAGGGTTTAGGTTAAGAATAAGTAATAGAAAAACCTTAATGCCATGTTCAAAATATTAAATGTTGTACCTCAAAGTTTTAGAAATTGTGAAAAATGTTAGATACATTAGGATGAGACTTCAGGGAAGATTGTACGAAAATTGTTTTTGTCCGTTTTCTTGCATTCAGGATTCCTTGTAGGCCAGAGCTGGCTTATTTCTATGCTTTTTCATGTAGTAAACCCTCAAAATACTACAGTCATATCCTCTGTATCTCATAAACATGTATCCGTTATCTAGGTTTATAACTGTTTAACTTTAATAACACCGGTTTTCCTGGAGTTATATTTGCAAGTCATCTGTATATAGAAACCACAATCAAAAATATCAGTTTTCAAAATTAGAACATTGATATCTAATTCATACTTGATGTGACAAAGCTTTTAAGTTGTGAATCGGGCATTGCCATCTTTGATTGGAGGGTGAATTGAAATTACGCGTACACTCCCTTTAAATGAATTCTTTATTTCTTAAACTGAGATAATAGAAGAAATATATTTCTGTGATACAATGAAAATACAAATCTTATTTAATTTTATTGTGAAACACATTTCTCGATTTTTTTAGTACAAAACATTGATTTAAATACAAAACAGGTATAAAATGTAGATTGGGATTTGAAACTTAAAACAAGGGAAGGAAATGAAGAAAGGGCAGGAAATTAAGAAAGGGCAGAAATGAAGAAAGGGCAGGAAATGAAGAAAGGGCAGGAAATGAACAAAGGGTAGGAAATGAACAAAGGGCAGGAAAGGTAACAAAGGGCAGGAAATGAACAAAGGGAAGGAAATGAACGAAGGGCAGGAAATGAACAAAGGGCAGGAAATGAACAAAGGGCAGGAAAAGAACAAAGGGCAGGAAATGAACAAAGGACAGGAAAGGTAACAAAGGGCAGGAAAGGTAACAAAGCTGGCAGGAAATGAACAAAGGGAAGGAAATGAACAAAGAGCAGGAAATGAAAAAAGGGCGAGAAATGAACAAAGGGCAGGAAATGCAGAAAAGGCAGGAAATGAACAAAGGGCAGGAATTGAAGAAAGGACAGGAAATGAAAAAAGGCAGGAAATGAACAAAGTGCAGGAAAAGGTGAGATTTCAGCTATATTTGCCAGGCCTGCTGTTTTCTTTCTGGTTTCCAGGTTTTCTCAACCATATCCTGTACATACATTTGTACATGAACACTTTAGTACATCAGTACATTAGTACATGAACACTTTATTACATCAATATATTAGTGAATGCAAATAGTGAATATAAAAGTACATGAATACATTAGTACATCGATACATTACTACATGAATACTTTAGTACATTAATATATTATTACATAAACACATTAGTACATCGATATGTTAGTACATTAATACATTAGTACTTAAACACATCAGTTCATGGATACATTAGTACATAAGCACATTAGTACATAAGCACATTAGTACATAAGCGCATTAGTACATGAACACATTAGTACAGATATACATTAGTACATGGATAAATTAGTTCATGAATACATTAGTACATGAGTATATTAGTACTTTACAATTGTACATCAATATGTTAGTACATTAACAAGTAAATACATAAAATGGAACATAAATACATTAGTACATGGATACATTATTACATACACACATTAGTAAGTGATCAAATTAATGCATGAATACATGGATACATTAGTTGCGCACATTTTCTTACAACATGCAAATTTTAGCCCTAGCAGAAGTTATGGGCAAAAAACGACCCAAAAACAATGCAAAAACGATCCAATAACGATGCAAAAAAATATGCGAAAAAGATGCAAAAACGATCCAACAACGATTCAAAAACGAACGTGTCGTGACGTTCGTTTTAAGGATCGTTTTAGGACTTATTATTTTTTAGATCAAAGATATGGCTAAGTTTAAAGGGACAGACCGGTTATGTAATTGGTAGTTAAACTGAGTATGCAGTGTTGTGGTCAAATTCTTTAGGATTTATTTGAGACATATAAAACTTTTCCACAAAGTATAATTACTGAGTTTGAGTGCATAGTCGACGTTTAAAATCATGAATTTGGGTGGGAACGTTTTTAGAATAGTTTTTTTTAATTATTAAATAATGACGACAAAAAATAAATTAAAAAATATGTAGTAAACTAATTAGATGGACAGGAACATATTTCTCGAAAGAAATTTGTCAATAAATCAATGCTAGAATCAATTATTTCGTTTTCCTCAGTATTTTGAATCTCTTATTTTCTATGAATTCATTCGCAGATTTTTACAAATTCTTCAAATGTCGTCTTTTCAATAATACTTCCAGAAAATCTGCAGAAAATCTTTGTGAATATAAGAAACTAGAATAATGAGAAAATATAAACTAATAATTGAACAAGATTACTTATTTTTGATGATAAGATGAATTTTTATTTTCTCAACCTGTTCCTAAACACTAATTAGTTTACTGTAGACTTTTGTTTACATTTTTTGTCGTCGTTATTTTACAATTTAAAAAACCAATTCTGAAAATGTATCCACCCAAAATTACGATTTTGAACGTCGACTTTGTGTTAAAATTCAGGATTAACAGATCTGTAATAAGTTTTATATGTCTCAAATATCCTAAAGAATTTGTCCACAACACTGCAAGCCGGTCTGTCCCTTTAATAAAATCAAAGTTTAACATAATACAGTTTTGAAAACTTTGGGCTTCTGTCTCAGGGTAAGTGTTCTATCTGTTTTGTTATTAATCTACGTGTAAGAGTAAAATTGTGTTAAATCAAAATTTAAAAAAATAAATGAGTTTATCTCAGAATATTTTTTATTTCCCAAATAATTAATTGAATTGTACCTGTATTTGTGTCTTTTCAAGTACTTCATGCTTAAATACTTCAACACTGGCACTATTCTCAAGATCGTGAAGCTGTAATATCAAAATTCAATATTTTTACATTTTATTTTGATCTTTAAGCTAAAGCATGCAATGGTTAATTTTTATCTATATAATAAAAGAAAACATTTGTATATATATGTTGCCTATAGCCAGCCAAAGGGCTAACACGAATGGGCTGAAATTTTTTGTGGACACTCATGGGTGGCTGGGGGGTAGGCTAAAAAAATGTTCATGTGATTTACACAGGCATCATTGAAACCTGAATTTGATCAATAATGTTGAAGATAACGTCGTTTTCTAACTTGAAAACTGTTTAATTCTCTTAATTTTTTTCCGTTGTTTCTAAAGCACGCTTGTCACGCTTTTGCAGAGAAAAGAAATAAAAATAACTAAAATCATTGATATAAATTCATATTTGAGCAGAACAAGGTTTTAAGTTACAGTTTTGAGATCGGCCATACCCCAATATATCTATATCTTAAAATTATCATTAACCAATCAAAAACGAATGGCAATATACAGAGCGTCCCATATCATATATTAGGTTATCTCCAATCGTTAACGCAAAAATACGAAAATAATACTCGAAAAATCTAGCATTTTCCGCAAAAAAAAATTTCTGTTAACCTTATTAAAATTTTCAAAATGATTCATTATTTTTTAATTTTCTGATTTGTCCTCTAAATCGATTTTTAGACCCATGGACGCGGTCTAATTTGATGTGGGACACCCTGTATATCCAGCCAATAAGAAGAAATCAGTGTTAGCCAAGTCTCACAGGCTGATATGCAGCTAAAAAGTAAGATGATATAAGTAGGTTTCTTACTCTAACACTATCATCTGTGCAGTAGTTTTGTTTGCTTTGACCCTCACTAGATGGTGTGTGTGTAAACTCATCTAGAACTTCAAACCCCTCAGGGATGTCTTTAAACTTTGTATCTGTATATCTGTAAAAGATAAGAAAGTAATAAAAAAATATGATAATTTATAATTAATAATTTATTTCAAATTGACGGGGACATCCAGGAATTTTTCCAGATATTATTTCAAATTCTATAAAAACAAATAAGACTAGATAGAATGTAATGATTAATTTGATGTTTCGTAACATAGTCCACATGATACACTGTACATCTAGCTCTTAACATGCCTACATGCTTAGCGGTTGAAGGAATATTTCCCCCCAATTCTTAAAAATTATACAAAAGATGGACCCCATTTTTGAAAGCTTATTTACATTTCACCTATTATCTTTAGAATTAAAAATGAAAGTCTTCTTTATTGTAATGATATATACGGTGACCACTGTACCTGTGTTTAACCTGTAGAGGATCGAATGAGCAAAAAGTGTCGGAAACACAAAACCTGGAAGATGCGTGACCCATTTATTCTGAAAAATGGTAAATATCAGATATAATTTCTTACTTAAAAATTGATAAATTTCGACCTATTGTTTCTGTAAAGTGGTAAATATCAGATCCCATATTTTTACTTTATAATTGAAAAATTTACCCCTTTTTATTATGAATAATAGTAAATTATTAGATCCATATTTTTACTTTATAATTGAAAAAATTTACCCCTTTATATTATGAATAATGGTAAATATGTCGGATTAATTGTTTCATTTTAAAAATGCTAAATATTGACCCATTTATTCTGAAGAGTGGTAAAGTACTATTGTTTTTGTAAAGAGAAAAAGAATATACTTTTTATTAAGCCATGCATTTATTGGAAAAATTGTATTCTAAAAACTTACTAATTCTTTCGGATAAATGCATTGAAACGGATTATAAATTTTTTTTTGTTTGTTTTTTAATAATTTTATGTTAAAATTGGTACATTTTGACTCATGTCATTCTGATTAATATAGGAAAATGTTTTTCATTTTTTCTGAACCAGAATATTTGTATTTTGTATATTTCTAATATCAAATTGAAGAATCAGGACTGGTTGTTAACTGAAGACTGCCGGTATTATATAATCTGGGAAAATGAAGAAAAGTTCTAAAGTTTGATCTATTTTGTGTGTAACTCCTGCAACTATATATAGGGGAATATTAAGATTTTCCAAACCAAATCAAATATAGGAAATCGTCCAAACCAACCCAAATAAGGGAATCTTTCAAATTTCAAAAATTTTGGGTGGAATGTTAACTAAAATCACAAAGGTATATAAATCATCTTTAAACAATAAACCTTTCGATATTATAGTCAAAACTTGAAATTATTACTCATTTTACAATTCGACTTTAATCTATGATTATTTTGACGTTTTAAGAACAGATTAACGATGGTGTATCCTAATCGACCTAAGCAAATCCGCTATACTCCACTTCTGACCTAAGCCAAATCCTCTATACTTCACATCCGACCTACTAGCACGTGGTTTTACAGCTGCTACATGGACTTGTGGGCGCAGCGCACGGCCCCCTAGCCTGTCAGAGCCACAGCGCTCGGCCCGGAAATTGTCAACCTAACCTAACCTTCAGATAATACAAAAACAAACAGCTGATGTTGGTCCGATATTGCAGAAATTTCGTAGGTCAGAAGTTCAGTAGGGGGGATGTTGCGTATAGACGATGTAACATTACCCACATGGACCAACAAACGACTGCAAATTCACTTGGTCCCTCTACTTACACTTTTGATTCCCTGGAACTGTGGTGCTTAACCACAGAGTAAAACCCATTGGACATATTTAAGTCTAAGAATAGAATTCAGCCTAGTTCGCAAGAACTTAAGGAGTTTTAAATAACATTAAGGTCTCATCCTGTATTTTACGGTTGTACCAGGTACCTATAGCAAAATGTGTACATTTATTAAAAATAAAAGAAAATTAGTCAATATTATAACTTTATTTTTTACTGTACGTTATCCATATATCTAGACAACTAAAAATGGATAAAATCAAACTTGTATACTACTAAAACACACTTAGATGTAAAAATATTTAAAATCAATAAAACAGAAAATATTCAGGCCAGCACATTACTTTTGTGTGGGGACAATGGTTCGCCTTCCTTGTGTCCAATCTTCTCTTGAATCTTCTTAACTTCCGCCTTCAACTCATTCTTCCGCCCTCTGTATTCCTCCGCCTCAGCTGCCTTGTTCTCTTCTACCCACTTCAGGGCGGAGGCGAGGCGGGTTCTACCGTACTCGATATCAGACTGGAAAATATTAACACTTTTAAGAGCATAATTTCATGTGACCCTCTATGTAAAAAATGGCAATGCCCGATTTACAACGGTACCCTTGAGAAACCGCAAAGGAAACCAAAGAGTTTAAATTTACAAAAACATCATTCGACATACTTAATTGACAAAGGTTTAAAGGGTAATGTTGTAAATCGAACATTGCCATCTAAGCACTTGAAATAAGCTTACAGTCGATCCCTTTACAAATATTTTACAACCAAATTCGTAGAATTTTTCTCGTAGATGATTATTCAAAAGGGACTAATTTTCAGTGACTCTTCTTTTACAAACTGGCATGTCCGATTCACAACAGTACCAGTTAAACCTTAATTCATGGAGTTATTCAATATCCATGCTTTTTGCTTCCTGAAATTTGGTTATTTTCAATTTCGGTTCTTTGTAAAAAATGACTTGCTAATTCAATATGAAGAATTTATATCTCTTCAGAAAAACAATCAAACTATCTTTCTCGTTGATTTTCTGATAAATATTGGGTACCATTGGTCAATCGGTTGTCAATTTTTTTTTTCATTGATAAATATGTTAACGATCGATAGTTTTATAAATATCTAGGCACATCTAGACTAATTATGAAATAAATCCAAGATTTTATCTTCACCAAATCTTATCAAAAAAAAAATGATTTCTTCTAAATCAAAAAAAAAATATTAAACCATTTGCTCGGTATTTAATTTAGATTTAAAAAAAACTAGAAGGGAACAAAAACCATTAAGATTGTTGCATTTATATATTTCTTAAAGCTAAAAATAGTTAAAAAAAGAGAAAATGTGAAAAAAAAATTTATTTTAGAAAATCTGTCCTAAAGAAAGAATATTTTTGTTGTGAATAACAGGATGTCCATCTTATTTGACCGGCTATGTAAGGTAGTTAAACTGACTATGCAGTGTTGTGGAAAACTTCTTTCGGATTCATTTGAGACATATCAAACTTTCTAAAGATCTGTAAATCCTGAGTTTGAGCGCAAATTCGACGTTCAAAACATTTACTTTGGGGGTGGATACGTTTTCAGAATTAGATTTTTTGAACTCAATAAAAAGTGCCAACATTAAATATAGAGATCAATTAATAATACTCCACAACAAAAAAATCCGACCTCATAAAATTCTCAAAAGTATTGAAATATTAAAGTATTAAAATATTGAAATATTTATGATTGTGGATTTAAAATTTAAATATTTACCTCGGAGAGCTTGCATTTAAACTTCTCTAGTGCATTCCTCAAATTCAGCACATAGGATTCTAAAATTAAATAATATTAACTTAGTACAGTCGTCGTTGTATATATATCAATACGATGAAGAAGACTTTAGATTTCCATTTTGATTTCTACCAATCTTTCAAATAGCATGAGTACACATCAACATGGAAACAAAGAAAAGCTGTCTATTAAAAGTTTCACTTTTTTTACTTGTATACTTTTAGTTTTCAAAAAACTCGTTAAAAACTAATAAATTCGTCTGCATTGCATTGATATAAACGCTAAGCACTGTAAGATATTCACTGGGGACAACAATTGATAAAACAGCTTCAGTTATTCGTTATAAATTCAAACATTACCGCAAGTGCATTAAACAAAATATAATAAAAAACTGAAGGTTAAGCATATAAGGCAAAATAAAGAATTCTGGTTTGAAAAAAAAGTAGAAAAGGATTAACGACACGAGAAGAAAAAGAAAAGATACAACTCTAAGGGGGGGGGGGGATTACACCCCTACAAAACTTACCTAAATCATTTCTTGCGACCACACACTCTCTTTTCTTATGATCTTCAGATTCAAATCTCCGAGCATCCTCGATCATCCTCTCAACCTCTTCAGCAGTCAAACCTCCTTTGTCAGGCTTAATTGTGATCCGTTCATGGTTTCCAGATCCAAAGTCGATGGCGGAGACGCTCAAAATACCGTCAACATCCACATCAAACTTAACTTCGATCTTAGGAACACCACGTGGAGCTGGAGGAATACCGACCAGGTCAAATTTACCAAGGAGATGGTTGTCCTTGGCTAGCGGTCGTTCTCCTTCGTACACACAGATTCCCACTGATTCCTGATCATCAGCGTTGGTTGAGAATATCTTGTTGGTTCGGACAGGAATAGGAGTATTCCTGGCCACCAGAATTTCCAGGACACCACCAGCTGGTTCTACTCCCAGAGATAGAGGAACTACGTCCTGGAAATTACGTTTTTTTTTCGATGTTAGAACTTTTTATCGACAATGAAAACTAAGAGATTAAGTGCTTAATCCGCAAAAATTTCTGTAACATGTTCTCGCGATCACTTAGGCCCAAGAAATATTGACAAAAATTGAATTAGTGTTTTAATAAAAGGAATTGCAAAATAAAATTTCCAACCTAATCAAAAATATAAAATTAAAACCTGGAGGATACACTCTCCAAAGCTCTTATCTCCGTTAAGAACAGCAGCTTGGACAGCTGCTCCATATGCAACTGCTTCCTCAGGGTCTATAGACTTGTTCAGCTCCTTGTGGAACATCTCAACAAGCAATGACTGCAAAATAATTCAGATACACATCACTTCAAAACGCAATCAACAGAGCATAGTATAGAAGACGACACCAAAGCTTGGAATTTCTCAAATTTTACTGAAAATTTACAATTACTAATTTTATTTTTAAGCTTAAATGTTTGATGGGTTTTGTTTATTTCCTTGATAAACTCAGATGAAAAACTCAAATTATTCAAAAATATTTGAGAACAAAACTGATGACTACAAATGTCGTCTTACGTAAGATACGGTTTCGATGGCAATAGTTTATAAAAATCAAGTCATTCCCTAATTTGAACTAATTTGAAATGAAATCTGAAAAAGAGGCCCCTAACACCCTCTCCCCCCTCTCTCAGGAATACCACTTTCATATTCTTATAAAACCTAACACAAGCTTTTACTTTGAACGGGGATGGCCAATAAAGGGTGGATGGGAGGGGAAGTCTACAAAAAAGCTAAATCCCAATCAAATCTTACGTTAAGACTTCAGAAATATTGGGTTGAAAAGCAACCTGAAGTTTAGGTATTCTACTACTACCTCCCACCAGAACTATTTCATCCATCTCTAGTTTACAATCGTCAACAGCTTTCTAGACGACAATAATACTTTTCTAATGTAGGAATAATTTCAGATAATGGCGTGCTCGACCCAAAAACGTATCCTTTAACCTTAGAGATGAGTAACATTATAGCAATAAAATACAGGTTTCATTCAAAGATAACTTTAGGTCTATTAATTTAAAAAGCCTTTGCCGTAGCCCAGACCCAAATACACAATATTAATACAAAATTCCATTTAAAGGTAAAATATAAGTTTCTTCCTTATAGATTTAATCATGCAAGTGTAACTATAGTGTGTAAAGATTGTTTAATAAGTTTGAGGGAAAAATCAAATAAACTCATTTAGACCATTCAAAAGTGTCTATAAGCTTAAAGACAGCTCTTGCATCATATGAAATCCCCAAAAAAAATTTTAAAATCCCCTAACAACATTCAAAAGTGTCTTTAAGCTTAAAGAATGCTGTTGCATCATAAGAAATCCCCAAAAAAAATTTTTAAATCCCCCAACAACATTAAAAGTGTACGTGAATCTTGGTAATGAAATGAAACTAGTATGTCGTCTTCCCTTGACGTGAGAAATGATCATTTCGAAGAGATCTCCGCATAGATCCTCAAACTTTGCTTGAGTGATCGTAGAGTAGAAATCTATTCCTTCTGTTAATCCATCGATCTCAATATTGGCCTGGGGCGCGCTACTGAGCGTAACCTTAGCGCGCTCACATGCAGTTCTGAGTCGGCGAAGTGCGCGTTTGTTACCACTAATGTCAGCTTTGTGCTTCCTAAACAAAACAACTGTAAAAAAAACTAATGAATGCACTCAGTATAAAATTTGACTTTTTTAAAATTAAGAATTATTGAGAAGAATTTTGTAATTTGTAAAAATAAATACTTAAATATGTATTTTCTGTTTGTTTGTAATGCAAAACAACGTTAAAACGGCTAAATTGATCCACGACCCAATTTTTTATCTTGACGTCGTCTTACTTTCTTTTACAATTAAGAAATATCTCTAAGAATTTGTAAATGTAAAAATCTTTAAAACAGTTAATTTCAATTTTAAAAACGTCTAAATGGCTGAATCGATCCGGCCCAAATTTGGTGTGGCAACTTACACGACATCAGAGCTGGGATCTTTAGAATGGTGGATATCAGGATTAACGCTTAATCCTCTCTTTTTGCTAATCTCGAGATTATGTTAATCTCGAGATTAAATTTATAGATCATCAAATTTGATTCTAGGAACGCCAGATTTGTTCGTTTTCTTGACTGGAAGGGCCTTCAATTAATTTCTCGCCAATTTATTTATTAATACATTAGTTAAAATTGGTTAAAAAAGAATCTTAAACCTATTATTGAATATTTTGCTTCACCGATTAATTTACAAAATTACCGACGACAAGTGCTTTATTTGTTAAATTTGCGGATTTCTCTCATGGGGTAGAATTTATTTTCAAGGCTGTCATTGGTCAATACAATTTCCGAACTATATTTCTACAGAGAAAACAATCTACAGCTATATCCAAAGAGAGAGAAGAAGAGTGGATTAAGGACTAAAATTAAAAGTTTCTACAGTGATATTCGGATTGAGTAGTTGGGATTAAAGGTTATCCATTCTAAAGTTTCCAGGTCAGGGCAGGTCCAAATTGCTGGAAAAAGCCGACATTTAACACTTAAAAATCCAGAAATTTAAACGGAAAAATCGTTGAAATATTTTGTTTATATTTGAGTACAAAGAAAAATTGCAATTTAAATTCATCCGTAAAAAAAAATTAAAAGGAGGCGCAAGCCAAGTTTAACTAAATGACAAGGAAAGACAAAATAAGATTTTTCGTAAACTTAATCTGTTTCGATCAGACGATCGACATTTTTTCAGTTTACGGATCTTCATAGAAATTCATCATGATCAGTACTATAATGGAGGGAGGTGCAAAGCGTTCAAAATTTCTCGTCAAATGACTTACCTCATAAATTCTTGAATGAAATGCACGAGCAGTCGATTATCAAAATCCTCCCCTCCGAGATGTGTGTCTCCAGCAATAGATTTCACCTGGAAAATAATTAGTGGAGGTTGGGTGAGTATTGTTCGTTATTACACCGCTAGGTGTCTCTAAGTTCCAAACTAATAACACATTCCAGAACCTTGAAATGCAACTGCCAACACAACGTAGAAATTATCCAGAGCTAACACTAGTACTGGTGTTGAAATGTTATTAATTTTTTACTGCATCTAAGCAGTTCTCTTAAAAGTACAAAAAGTTTCGACAAAAATCCGTATATAGGTTCCAATTTAACCCTCAACATTATGCTGAAATAGGCTGACGAGTGAGTTCTGCTTTCCCTGGGTTGGAAGCAGGACAATTCATCAGCAGTGTTGACATACTTCAGCCAGATCAGAAAATGAATAACACTAAATTCATCTAGACTAATCTTCCCAGGAGTTTATCTAGACTAATATCTGAAACTGCTTTAGAAGCAGTGTTTCTTTAGAGAGCTTTAACATTTTGATTACCGAGGGTTACCAATACCTACAAATGATTTGACTTTAATAAGACCAAAAAACTCATCAAACGCGGCATTATAAAGTTTGAATTTAGTGTTCTGATTTAAATAAGTCTTTAATATATTAAATAATATGTATAAGAAAAGATATATTTTACAGCTTCAGGGAACCCTGGGAGGAATAAACAAGACTGTATAAATTCCGTACAGTTCTCATTTCTGCATATGATTATACAAAAAATACATATAAAAACATTTTTAGACTTTTTTTTATAAAAAAGCATTCAATAAAATGAATAATATTTTACCTGAAAATTTCCATTATCAATGACGAGTACAGAAACATCAAATGTACCGCCTCCAAGATCAAAGATCAAAACAGTTTTTTCTCCTGAAGAAAAAACGTTATAAATTCTATAATTGTAAGTACTTTGTCCTTGAAGCTTTGTAAAATAATCATAAGATTTCAAGTGCCCCTCCTCTCCCCTCCCCACTACAAAGGGGGAGGCCTGATTTACGATGGTACACTTCAAACTTTAAACCTTTATCAGATCAAATGTAGAAGATATCGCCGTTTCCTATATCTTAAGATTTTGATAATTTGATAATATTGTTTAGCAGAAATGCGAAAGTCGATCACCTTAAAAAGAAACCACATTTAAAAACATCAATATTTAAGAAATAATTTTGGATATCTTTTTTGACCAGACAAAGCTTTCAAGGGTACCGTTATAAATCAGACAGGCAAGAATTTATATAAAAATTATACTAGCTTTCCAATTCTCGTTTAAAAACCGTTTTCCGGATTTTATTAATAAATTGTGTGATAAAAGGCCCTAATATATTAAAATTCTTCAACAAAATGGAACAAACAAATTGGGACGTATGGGGGAGCAAATTTATTTATCCTTAAGATTAAGGTCGTCTTACCTTGGGCCTTCCTATCCATACCATACGCAATAGCAGCTGCAGTCGGCTCATTGATAATTCGGATAACATTTAACCCAGCAATCTGACCAGCATCCTAAACATGATACATGATAATATACATGATGCATGATGCATGATGCATGATGCATGATGCATGATGCATGATGCATGATGCATGATGCATGATGCATGATGCATGATGCATGATGCATGATGCATGATACATGATACATGATACAAGATACAAGATACATGATACAAGATACATGATACATGATACATGATACATGATACATGATACATGATACATGATACATGATGCATGATACATGATGATACATGATACATGATACATGATACATGATACATTTACAATACGAGACTGTTGACTGTGTTTTAAATGAGACCCCCCATGCTGACTTTGTTGAGTATTGAGCAACAATTAATAATATATCAGTGTTTCTATTTGAAAAATGTTTAAATCTGACTGTTTCCTTCGGTGAGTCTGATGCATAAATCCGCAGGACACAATTGGAAATTATCCATATTTAAAAGAAAAAAAAATCTTCAGAAAACTTTCGCCAAACGACTATTCAATTGGCAACCATTGTAAATCGAGCATTGAAATTATATTAACAGTAGCTTTAAGAACCCCAAACTTTATTGCAGCTCAGTCAACTTTTTTGTTTGGCAAATAATTTTAATGCTACGATTTCATTCTTTTTTATTGCAGTCGTAGTTTGAATAAAAGGGCATTAAAAATTTGTAATGACAATCCCTTTAACATAATTTTTTTTAAGAGTTTTACCTTTGTTGCTTGTCTCTGGGAATCATTGAAGTATGCGGGAACAGTAACCACTGCATCCTTCACCTAATAGGAGAATATGATAAATGTCGTCTTCAAAAATGGATCACTTCATTTAGGGTTAAAGCAAAGTTCTTCAGGGTTGAAAACAAAAAAAAAAGAGACTTAATTGACGACCTAAGTTAAAATTACTGAAGGTTTAAAAAATTGTATATTTTAAAACTTACAAAGAACCAAATTTAAAACTGCCCTGAATCTTTAAATAATTTAAAACTGCCCTGAATCTTTAAATAATTTAAAACTGCCCTGAATCTTGATATCATTAAATTCGTTCGGTCGTCTTCATAGTCTCTAAGTCCTGTGAAAATGTGATGAGATTCAATTTTTCAAGAAATTTCCAAACTCTATATTTGCTAAAAATGCGAAAAAAGGTGGGCAATTTTTTTGCACTGAATTGAACTTTTTAAAACTTGGGAAAAAACCAACCAAAATAAAATTATTGCCAATTAATCAGCTTAGAACGTATTGAATTTGAAACATATTCTAAACTGTCACCTTATAGCCCAAGTAAGCTTCAGCTGTATCTTTCATTTTCTTTAAAACCATTGCACTACAGAATACAGATACATATTAGCAATTTTTTTTATTTATTTTGGCCTTAAATATTCTTTTAGTTAAAATGTTTCTTTATAAAATTGAGAATACTAATAAAGTATTTAAAATAATTTAAATGCGAAGTTAAGTCCAAATTGTAGTATGGAGAAAACGCTATTAAACGGTGTGAAACTCTCAAATATCGTCTTCCATCTAAGTTGCCAAAAAATATTCATAATACTTTTTTTTCCAGAAAAGAGAATTTATTGACAAACATTGCAATTGATGACTAACATTAAACATTATGGAAAGAACATCCATTTCTTAAAAAAGAAGGGAATTAATAAAAATCAACTTGGTAAACTTCTATAATAAGCAAACCTTTAAAAAACTAAAAACTTGATTTAAGAATTGCATGCATCCCTGATCTCTTCTGGCTTGAACTGCATGGTTTGATTCAAGAACTCGACCTGGATCCTGGGGTTTCCATTGTCAGACACCACCTGCTCTCAGGACCAACATAGTCGTGTACAATTCACAAAGGGATAGAAGACGTATTAACTAGTGCATCCATCCAAAGAGTGGAATGTCCCAGCAACAAATCACATTTATTTGAGTAACAAAAATAAATTTTTTCCGATAGAAAAAAAGGATATCTTATTCCTCCTTGAGCGGTCAAGGATTTAACTGGTACTGTTGTGAATCGGAAATTTAAAAATTAAAAATATGTCTTGGTCCCTTGGCGAGAATTTCTATTTTTTTTTGACTCATTATTAAGGCCGCTCTCACTTATGGGTTGGAACTACATTAAAGAAATTTTATTAAAGCTGTGAAAAATTAAATCTAAAAAATTTTCTTTTTGCACTAAAAAATGTTTTTCTTCTCCGAAAATATGGAAGAAAAAAAAATTCAGCGGCAAGAAAGTTTTAAGATTTTATCTTTCAATGTAAAAAAATATCATGCGAGAGAATCAGTTTATTTTATCATTTTTCATATTGAATAATTAATTTTATAAATCCTAGGTTGGATTCCTTCCTTGAAAGGCCACAGCTTGATGTCTGCTTGAACAGTATCATCATTGAACTTTCGGCCAATCAATCGTTTAGCGTCGAAGATTGTGTTTGCCGGGTTAACCGCTACCTGACTAGCCGCAGGGTCACCAATCAATCTTTCCTTACCTGGGAATAGTGATGGGCATGTTTTCTTCAATTATCGACCCAATCAATTCGGCTCCTTTTGATTCATTCAGTTAAATTCAGAATTCATTGCTTATAGGAACAGACCGGCTATGTCAGGTAATTGAACTGAGTATGCACTGTTGTGGACAAATTCTTTAGGATTCATTCTAGACGAAACTTTTTAAAGATCTGTAAAAAGTTTGAGCGCAAAGTCGTCGTTAAAAATCGTACTTTTGGGTCGAAACGTTTTCAGAATTTTTTTCGTAATTATTAAATAACGACGACAAAAAATGTAAACAAAATTCTACAGTAACTTATTATTTGTTAAGATACAGGTTGAGAAAATAAAAATAAACTCTTATCATCGAAAGTAAGTAATTTTTTTCAATAATTAGTTTCTAAAATTTCTGAATTTAATCACAAAGATTATCTGCAGATTTACTGGAATTTTTATTGAAAAGACGACATTCGAAGAATTTATCGAAATCTGCAAACAAATAAATTTAAAATAAGAAATTCAATATAATAATGATGAAAAAGTAAATAATTAATTCTAATTTATTGACACATTTCTTTTGAGAAATGTTTTTAAAGATGTAATTAGTTTACTTTAAGATTTTTACAGTATTTTTGTCTTCGTTATTTAATAATAAAAAAACGATTCTGAAAACGTACACACCCAAATTCATGATTTTGAACGTCGACTATGCACTCAAACTCAGTTATTATACATTGTGGAAACGTTTTATATGTCTCAAATTAACCCTGAAGAAATTTTCCACAACACTGCATACTCAGTTTAACTACCTTACATAGCCGATCCGTCACTTTAAATAAGTTTGTGACCCGTTGAATTAAAAAACGAGGATCATGTCAGATTCACAATGATACCCTTGGCCTTTATCTAATAAATAATTTACAAAAACATTGTCGGGGTGTTTGGCTTGACAAGTGTTAACAATTTTCATCCTCTATGTTACTGTCTCTAGAAATCCATAAGTCACTTTTAGAGAGAAACTACAGTTGATAATATTTCAAAAAGTTAAAAACATGAAGATTATTTTCACTAAAATACCACTTGTGGGTGCCATTGTGAATCTTATTCTAAAAATGGAGGTTCCCTTGAAATTTAGTTTGTCGACTAAAAGTTGAAAACAGTGCTCAACACTAAACCTGTGAAAGCTACACAACTGGGGGTCAACCTACAAGAACAAGACAACTAAATTATTTTATGAATAAAAGACAGTATTAAGTGCCCTTTTTATGCAATTCAAATAAATAAAGAAAATGAATAAAACAAATTTTTTTTTTTCTTTATTAACGGAATTTTTGTCATTGTTCTACAACTTTTTTCATTAAGTTGTCCAAACATACTATAGTTAGGCCTAAAATTTATTTTAGCTCTGGTTAAATACAAAAAGTTACAAATCTTAAAAAAAAATTCTGGAATTTCAATTAATTTTCAAAAAAGAATAGTTCTTACCCAGCCCTAACTTGGCACCCCGTGACGACCGTGACCCCGCGGTCCAAAATAATTTTTCAAAATTACTTTACCTGTTCCCTTGAGCATTAGCAATGATCTCAACCTGAAGAGAAGCTAAATTTGCCAAAATAAAACAATACTGGAAAGCAGTGCTTAGGATCCGGATCCGTTGGATCCGCAAGGGGTAAAATATCAACCAAAAACTGCAAAAAACTTTTTTTACTTCTAAAACCAAAATCTGAACTTTTGAAAAAAGGGAGATTATAAAATTTCCGCATTTCTGAATGGTTCATCAAGTTTTAGGATAAAAATATGCGAAAAAAATTAAACAAAAAATTTGAAAATTATGTTTTGTTAAAAAAATTCAGTAAATCTTAAAGAAATGACCTGGATCCGGATCAGTTTTTTTCCAGTGCTGATCCAGGATCCGGATCCGCATCAAAATTAAATGGATCCTAAGCACTGCGTGAAAGACATATTTGCAGAAAAAAACGTCGACCCATAAAATTAATTAATATAAAGAGCGTAAATACAAAAACGTAAAACGTTTTGCTAGACATTTTTTAAATTGTAAATACACAAGATACAAAATTCACAATTATTAATTCTCATTTTAAGTATAGAAAACTATGCCAATCAACTTAAGAAAAAAACTTAAAAAGTTTTTAAAAAAATTTAAAAGCATAATACGAATTTCAGACTCTAAAAGCTTTCATTATTAAGAAAAGCAATTTAACTATTCACTTCCCTTTCCATACTGCATAACAGCTACACAACTATTAGTTGTTCCTAGATCTATACCAATAGCAGCTTCCTTAGACATGTTTAGTGTCTGAAAATCAATTACTTTTGTTGAACGTTAACCTTATTCCTGCTGGGGAATTGGGCCAATTGGACCCCTTCTTTTACAAAACTCGATAAGTACTGGTCTGAGCCTGTTGAAATTTTCTGACTTTTCCTAAATATCTATAGCCCTCCTTTAGGTCTAAAACCGTCTTTTACACAATAACTCAGGCGCACTGCCTAAATAACTACTTTTTCCGGATACAGACTAAATCTTTGTCTTTACCCACTTTCTGTTGTCAGATTTTGATAATTAATTGCTTTTAATTGCTAATTGCTTTATTAATTGCCTTTTAGAAAGGCAATTAAAGGAAAGAAACGGATTTTTGTGTAATCCATCAAAGTAAATTAACACATTTTTTAGTTAATCTTAATAGATTATTTAAAATTTTGATTTTTTTGCATATTTAAAATATTGACATGGTCAGGGCTTTTCAAAAATGTATATTTTATTATTTTTTGAACATTTTTAATTTTGCAAACATTTTCAAAAATTCTGCAAATATTGCAATAATAGTTCTTACATAAAGAGGACCTTTAGATCTAAACCACTATAGAAGCTAAAATCTTTGCCAAAGACGCAATTGTGGCAATTGTCGCTATTCGGGGGGGGGGGGGGTCCGGGTCCTTGCGTCGTATCGTTTGCACTAATGATTGATCAGACTAACGTACATTCGCACTAACGTGGCCACAAGTGTTTATACTGGTCAGCTGACTTTGATGCAAAAGTACGTTAGTTCAATCGGACATTAGTGCAAACGATAAAGCATCCGGGTCCTGAGACTCCTGACTCATAATTTTGAGAAAATATCATTCAAATTTTTATAAAGTAGGAATTGAAAAAATCTTACAATCCATATTTCCCAGTTTGAGTTGTGTAAATTTAAGTTTTATTTAAATCTCGATGGAGGTGAGGGGGTTTCTTATATTACAATAGTAATGCACAATGCAATATGCAAAATGCATTTACAAATTCGCATTTTGTACGACCTTAAAGACTATAACCTTGTACAAGCAAAACTCAAATAACAAACAATTTACAAATATTCGAAATGACGATCGTATGAAAAGCAAGATCTACAGCAATAACTGAAGGGCTTAAATCCTATTCCTGTAAATAGTACTGCAAAGTGCAAATAAAAAAAAAAATATTAAGCCATGATATTAAAGCCCGGTTCATAGATCGAGCTGTAGCTATGACTTGACAGCTGAGCTGTAGCTAGTTAAAGCTGTCTGAGTTTTCTAGTCAATGAACGCACCTAGATCAGACCTTAGGTGTGACTTCAAATCGTAGCAAAATTTCAGCTGATCCAAATCATACCTCAGCTAGGATTTAGCTCCAACTTCACACGATTGTTTCGTGATATTGATGAAATAACTTGTTTTAGAAAAATCTAAAATTATGAAGAAAAATATCAGAAAAACACAGAACACCGTAATCCGGAAAGGCTAAAAAGCACCAAAATGTTAAGAAAACACAGGGGTTTGCAACCCTGCTTTACTATAAATATACTGCAACTAGCGTACATGTGTACTGTGTTATGAATACAGACTGCTGACTACTGACTGGAATTATCACTTGATACGTATATTTGTTGATATTACGATAAGGGGTTAAGACATGTAGATCCTAAAGGGAGGGGAGGGGGGGGATATAGAAAAGGGTAGGTATTGAAATAAAGGGGTGGGGGATAATCCTATATATATACAATTAGGCGTAATTAAAAAAGAGAGCAATGTGGCGCAGTTATATATTAATATATTTATATCTCGGCCAATATCTGGAGAAATGAGATTGAACTAGGAATTAGTTTTTCAGAATTTAAATTTATAATGCTTCTTATTGTAAAGTTAGCGTATATAAAAAAATCGCGGAGTTTTCTTATTATATTCGTGCATTTTTAAAAATGATAAATGTCGACATTTTTTCAAGGAATAAGTTAGTGCACCGTCAATTATACATTCTATGCTTAAGTTGCAACAAAAAAAAATCAGTTTTATGGCAATTCACTTGACCCCAGTGAATTGGATGGCTCAATAAAATTGAAAACTTTTGCCAGGATAAAATGTCGAAATCGTTTATAATTTTTGAAAATGTGCCAATCTTAACAGAAGAATCTCAGAATTATTTTTTGTTTATATGGATAAAAATCATTAATAATTGAAGACAAGATTGTTAGAAGAAAAGGTGCTCCAATAAACTCTTTTTCTATCAGCATTAATTTTTACCATTTTTGTACTATATTATAAGGTAATAGGCAAATTATGCTTTTTAAAAAGTTTTTTTTGAGTAAAAAAGTGCAAAACAAATCATGAAATATATATATATATTCTTAGCGCAAATTAAATCATAATGTAATACTTGAATTCATATCTTTGAAGGACAAGGTTTAAACAATTTTGTCATGTCCCTCAAATTTGATATTTTCATGGGATTAGAAATTACAATTAATGTCACATATTGATCTTGCTGACCTAGAGGAAACAGATTTAAGGAGTGTAAATTATAAACAAAATTTGCATGTTTCTTTAAAAATACAAAACAACAATTTCCGTTTTTCATGTTTAATTCTGATTATTTCTCAACTGTTTCTTACGCAAGAAATGCGTAAGTCACATCAAAAATGCCACGGACAAGTTTTCAATCACAAAAAAATAAATCAGACTTGATCAGACAAAGCTTTGAAGTGTACGTGTCGTAAACTCTATAGGCCGGGTATTCAGCTTACAGTCTTTTCTATTCTTAGAGTTTTAGGTCGTCTTTACATCTCGTTCTAATTGTGATTAACCCTACGAGGCTACGTATTATGCTTTTTTTGGGTTCTTCGCAGGTTTTAAGTATTCATGCGTTGTTTGATAAGCAGAAGGATTTATTTGCCTGATAATAGTGTGAAGATGGGCGTTTTCATACATATGTAATAGATTCAAATAGATGGAATGGGTGGGATTTGGGCGGGTATACGGATTAGGGATGGCCTTCGTTTCTTAACAAAACAAACATCTGAGATGTCTTTCATGTTTCAAAGAAGTATCCAGTATCCAGTATCCAGTATCCAGTATCCAGTATCCAGTATCCAGTATCCAGTATCAAGTATCCAGTATCCAGTATCCAGTATCCAGTATCCAGTATCCACAAAAAAATGAACAACTTGTTTAGGCATTTAAATTAAGCGGTTTGGTATCTTTCAAGTCAGAGCAAAGATTTTGCAAAGGAAGATTCCTGTGAAGCTTTTTAAAGTAAATGTTGACGTAATTTTAAGAGGGATCCTCCTTTTAAAGTGGGGCTTGCCGGATTCACAGCCATAGAACCTTTTCTCAAGTTTGGGGACGATATCGTCGTTTCTCTGCTTAGAAATTGTTTAATTATTATAATTACCTTCATTATTTCCGCTGTAGAAATGCGCAAGTCATTTTGTAGAGAAACCATAATTTAATTTAATCAATTTTAAAGAGACTAACATGCCGTTGGAATCAGACATACACTCCCTTTAATGAAATTACGAAAACACTCCCTTTAAAAGTCAATGTACATTTTTAAATGTAAAAACTGTTTGAATAAAAACCAAAAAACGTTGTACATCTCTTATGTGTGTGGTAGAGGTGGTATAAGGAGGAGAGCATACGAGAGGTGGGATAAAGAAAACATTTGATTTTATATTATTTCTTCAGTTATGGAGTCATGTTCTTTCCTAAAATTAAATTTACCCAAAGCCTTTATTTACAGATTATACCAACAATAAAGATGATAGTAACAAATTATTGCTCTTGTCCTAATATGGTCTTGTGTAATGTAGAGGTCTGACCTTAAATAAATATAATCATATTTCTTCAAGTTGTTCAAAAAATATCAAATGAGACATGAATTTTGACCATTTTTAAGAATTGAAATCTTGTAAATTTTCTTTCATAAATTCTTTGATCGAGGAGCTGTTAATAAGAACAAAAATGTTTCAAATTTTTCAAATCCAACCAGTTGAATTCTTTGATCGAGGAGCTGTTAATAAGAACAAAAATGTTTCAAATTTTTCAAATCCAACCAGTTGAATTCTTTGATCGAGGAGCTGTTAATAAGAACAAAAATGTTTCAAATTTTTCAAATCCAACCAGTTGAATTTGCTTTTCTCATACTTGGGCGTGACATCAAAATTAGAGAAGCTACGAGGTCTCAAAGTCGTACAATAATTGTCGCATACATACATTTGACTTCTATTGGCTAGTTTGTAGGGACACATGTGAATTAGATGGGATGTTTTAAGTACTAATTTTTTCTTCAGACTTTTTATTATATTTATAATTTTTAGACACTCTGGAGTCTAGGGATGAGAACTTGATGAAACCTTATTATTTATAATCTTTCAGAAAATCATTCGTCAAATTAAAGAGCATGCATTGCATAAGGTGAAGGGGGGGTTCTTTGGGAGGGGGGGTGGATACAAGCTTAACATTTTTAATTTTGCAAACATTTTCAAAAATTCTGCAAATATTGCAATAATAGTTCTTACATAAAGAGGACCTTTAGATCTAAACCACTATAGAGTTGCGTCAGTCTTTATTTTTATTGGGACAGAATTGTTTGAAGAAATAAGTTAAAATAATCATCAATAATTCGTTAATTTCACATTTTTAAATAGATTTGTTATAAAATAATGTTCGTTATTATCTAAAGCTTTAAACACAAAATAAATCCTGAATTAACTATAATGATCATATAAATTTTCATCGACAATCTTTTTATTTGGTAATTATTGAAAACTTTAGACAATCAATAAAATTTAAATAATAATTGAATATATAAATTAAAAAGTTTAAATCTGAAACATTTCAGTTTTAGTTTTTGTTTCCATTTTTATTTTCATTATAAAAAGTAAATGATAAAATTCATTAAAAATAATAATTATGATTTTATAAAAATGGTTGGGTTGTCCATATATACAGTGATAACCAGAAAACTCTGGAATAATAATACGACTTTTAGAGTCAAGTTTTAATTT